CTTTTGCATGACCTTTGATCTCTACAGGGATGACTCTGCACGGACATTTCTACTCTTTAGGTTGATAGTGCTAAATGGTTTATCTACTGTCAATATTGTTCCTTTCACTTTGACATGTATAAAAGGAGTCTCCAGTGTCTCTGTCATTTGAGTTTCTCTGCAGAGCGGTCATCATGTTACACTCTGTGCAGAGCTCCTTCCTGCAACTTCCTGCAGGAATAAAACCTCACAAAGATGATTGGCTCTTGGGTCTTTGTTCATATTCTCACTGGAAATATTTCCATTACAGGCTCTCCAACCAGCGTTCATAACCGTTATGTCAGCCACTGTCCCGGTGCTTCCTCATCTTCGTCAGATAATTCCTCTTCATTTTCTCTGTTGAATTTCACTGACTGGTTTTCACAGGTATAAAGCATGAGACGCGTACAGGGCTGTCAGATGTCGCCCCCTAAGAGCGGTTTCTTACTGTCATTGCAAAATTTGCACACTATGGGTCGCTGCTTTGGTTTAAAGTCTGTCAGCCCTCGGGGGCCCCCTACTGCTCTGGGGCCCCAAGCAGTTCCCTGTTGTGCCTGTTGACAAGCAGCACCTCACCTCTGTATAAACCTCTTTATTTAAGCACTGCTCAGAATTTGTTTCTAATTTAAGCTTTTTAATATTATTTCTATTGTTATTGTTATGAGGGAAATCCCAATGTCTTTTTGAGAATAAATTTAAAGTTTGAAATGAAATGTCCTCTTTGGGCTTCCATACTAATGATCACTCCAATGGATAGGTGTTTTTGGAAAGTCCAGAGTATGAGCAATAAATCCCTACTGATGTTTTAAAACAATATGAGAAGGATTACGTTGAGCCTTACACTTCTTACTCAGCAAATCGGCGGCCAATGTTTGCTGAAACATTGGGTGTAGCTCGATGTAAATCCATTTAGGTGACATAGAACAACGTCATTTGCTTACAGATGTTAAATCAAATCGAGGACAATCGAGATCTTAGCGCTCTGAAGACAGTGGAGATGGTTGTGGACTTTAGAGAAATTCAAATCCATGATGGTACACTCCTATACTTCCATCCTCTCCTCTTCCATCACAGTCTGGTACGCTGCACCGACGGGTCGGACAAGTGCAGGCTGCAGCGTATCAGCCGCTCTGCAGAGAAGGGCTGCAATCTACCATCGCTCCACGACCTGTACACATCCAGGACCCTGAGGTGGAAAGATTGTGGCCGACCCCCTCTCACCCCAGACATGAAACCCTTGCGCCACAAAAACAGTTTCTTCCTCTCTGCTGTCAGCCTCATGAACATGCCCTCCCCCCTCCCCCCCACATAACACTCTCATCAGCCCCACAGTCAGAGAACATCACAGTAATGTGGAGGCTGAAACTGTTTTCATGCATTACATTGACTTTGAATACTGCACCTTTTGTACATTTTTGTGTTTTTATATTTTTAAACTTTATTATATTTATTTGTAGCTGTTTCTTATATTTTATTCTTTAAGTTCTTGCTATTTTTTATTTATTTATTTGGTTAACTGTTTTTGCACCAAAACACCAAGACAAATTCCTTGTATGTGCAAATGTACTTGGCAATAAAAAACGATTCTGATTCTGAAATAAGTTTATGCATTTTGATGCAGCCAAAACTACAAAACAGTTATTATAGATCTGCTTTTGAGATTTCTGCCTCGTGTGGTTCAGTCTGAAAGCATCCTGACCATGCTCATGTGCTGCTGTTAGCCATGTTAACACCCTCAGTTTCAAAATAGAGTAAATCTTCACACATTCAGGTGCTTAGGAGAGCAATGTGTCCATCTACACTTGAAGGTAAACTCCTGCACACTGTCTAATCGCAAACAAACATTTATTGGCAACGTTTCGGTGATAGACCTTCAACAGGCAAACAGTCAATAGCATGCATGCATGCGTGTTAGCATAAGAACATTTTCACTAAACACAAAGTGAAACTGTGGCTTATTCATTTTCCAGGTTTTTGGTTGTTAACCCTACGACGGAGGATTAGGACCATGTTAAAATTATTTTTTTTAATTTTGAGATTAAACTCGTACATTTTCGAGAATAAAGTCGTAAATTTACGAGATTAAACTCGTAAATTTATGACTTTATTCTCACAAATGAACGAATTCGAGACCAGCCAGCGCAAAAATGATGAAAGTAGAACTCTGAAAGTCTTTAAAGAATAAAAGAAGAATAGAGTCGTTATTTTAGTCATCTTCACATTGTCATAAAATATCAGGAACCTGAAAAGATACTGCAAGAAACTGTGGCTTTTCTGAAGAAAGAACCAAACTGACTTGGAGGAAGTTGCCTGGGAAAGACTTTAAGAGTTCTACTTTCATCATTTTCTACTTTCATAATTGCCATGCAGGCTGGTCTCAAACTCGTTAATTTACGAGATTATTATTTTTTCCTTATAATTATTCTATTATTATTCTTTAATCTCAATTTTTTTTTTTTTAAGTTTTAATGTGGCCCTAATCCTCCGTCGTATAAACCAAAGTCCTGGACAAGTTGATTTTTTGACCTTCTGGTGTCATTAGGATTCATCCCCTGAGGGATACAGTATATGTACAATGTGTAATAAGATCTAAATGGCCAACAGGTTACCCCGTGCACAGCCTTAACACGTTCTCAGGTGTGTACGGTTGCAGGAACATACCATGAAAAATAGTCAAGTTATTTTCAGTGTGCCACAGAGTTTTGTATAATTCGATCTATTTAGATGCTGACATATTTCAGTACTGCAATGCATAGCTTCATTTTTCATGCTGCAGCTGCAGTTCCTTAATGAGGTAAACAACTGAGAGAATAACTCTGAAGGCTTCTTTTCAGCGCAGCATTATCAGGACCATGGTCACAGCCGTGTGTGTGTGTGTGTGTGTGTGTGTGTGTGTGTGTGTGTGTGTGTGTGTGTGTGTGTGTGTGTGTGTAGCATCCCTCGCAGACCAACCCAAAATTATACATCTCAGAACATTCCTCTGAACTCAAAGCCTTTCTGCAGAAGGCAGGTACCAAGCTACAAAGTGTTACATAATATCCTGTCTACTGCTAAATACTCTGACCTACTTCTACAAACATGTCAGTGCTTGAACTGTTTTCTTATCATGCCATCCAGAATTATTTTAAAATATGAGTGAGTAGCCTTCAGTACATCCCGGAAACATGCAGGAACATTTTTAATGAGCGATTTGAAGACAATGTCCCCTGCTTGTCCAACAGAAAGCAGGACGACTCCACGTCCACAGGCAACAAGGTTCACCCTCATTTTGGAACGAGCTTTATCCGCTTGACATTTAGCTTCACTACGATTATATTTTCTCTTCTTAGTCGCTACGTCCACATCAATCACTGAATTGTATCCACTCCTAAACTCACCTGCTGCGCTGTGATTGGCTGGAGAAAGCACACCAACTCCCCGCCAAGAAACGTCCCGAGTCAACCAGAACAAAGCAGAACAGTAAAATCCAGACAGAGGACAAAGTCTCTACAGACACAGTCACCACCACACATGTATAGAGGCCCAGAAGGGACGATGGAGCAGATTTACTTTTGCTGACTGCCTTTAAAGTGCTCTACAGCGACTGAAAACAAGAAAAAGCATAAAATATTGGCAAAACGTGGTGCAACAATAAGAGATTTAGATTTATGCACACATATACCATTAACAAAAGCAATTAAAACATTAAGAGTTAAAGAGGTTGTAATGGAAAAATATATGTTCTTGCTTATGCATTTAACACGTACACAAAACAACCCACGAACATAACTGTCATGAGACAATTATAGGCAAGTCTCTAGGCAGATTAAGACACATCAACGTGAGTCAACCAATGACAGTGCCCTGCTTTGCGAAGTCTGGTATAAATGTTAAGATGTTAACACTCCCGAGCAGGATTCTGCTATGCACTTTTGACGATGGTCACCTCTGTATAAGTTTCCCCCTTTTGCAAAAGAAACCCTTTATACTCGAGCAATAAAATACACAAAGACAAACCTTTGACTTGAGATCTTTATTTAATCACAGAAAAATCCACAACAAGGTGAAAACCCAGAATACGTGTTTCTGTTGTTTCTGTGAAGTATTTTCCTGCAGCTCTATTCATTTCTTAAATCTACAGACAGTTCGTCATATTGGGACTACATGTATAGTAAAGAGTTATTTCCTTGTTTTAATAGTCAGAAGGAAACTGTGGTAATATCCTACTACCAGTTTGTGTCAGATAAGCCTTGATCCTCTGAACTTCATTTCACAACATCCTTCTCCCTCTTGTTCAAGACTTACTCCGGTTAAACTCAGGTTAACCCTTGTTTTGCTCCTGGCACTTGTGATTGGATAAGAAAAATGTTGTCATGTGGCTTTTGCAGATTTTCCAAACACCGTAGCAACAAATGAATCAAATTCTTATCATTAAAATAGAGGCGCTTTTTCAGCGGTTCATTATTTGTTTGGAGAATAAAAATCATTAATGTATTTGCAGATGCTCTCGTCTTTCTTTCCAGGGTCTGTGTGTCTCTTGGAAGATGGTTTTCTAATTCAGTCAGGGTCACAAAATGAACCTAGAAGGTGCAACACTCCTTGTGGCCCTCTGCAGCGATGTACCCTTCTTGCGTGCTACCTGGCTCCTCATCAGAAAAGCCATGATGACAGCGCTTTAAATTGTTAATCTGCAGGTCTGCGCTGTTCTCTGCGCAGACCTGCGCTGAACAACTCTGAAACACAAATACACTTTTCGATCCGTTTGAAGGGATGTGATTTGATGTCTTCCTGCAGCAGCTGAAGAAATTCACCCTGCCAAAGATAATATTTAAACACTTTCCCAGAACTTCTTTACAGTTGAGCAATATCAAAATAAATGCAGTTTCAGGACATTCATTACAAAAAAATAAAAAAATGTAAATTATTATTTTTTTAATAATCTTTAGCAGGGTAACAGTTACAGTACCTGACAGGCTGCACTCGGGGGAAACCCAACCTCAAACTGCTTGTGACGTCAAACGTCTGCGCCGATCTTGACCACGTGGGGACGTTTTTTTGCAGAGGTAGCAAAACATCCGCAGTGACGCTTGCCTGTGTGCCCGCGAGGATGAAAACAACTTTCAGTGTTTCTTTGTGACAGTAAAAAGAAACTCAACAGAGAGAGAGAAAGAGAGAGAGAGCCTCGGAGGTTTCCCCCATCAGCGTCACTTTTTCTAGACCATGCCCCACGACCCCGACCCTCCTCCGGCTAAAAGGTTCAAGCCGGGGTCTGTTTTCTTCCGTCTCGACAGGAATAAGCCTGGTATGCTGCTGCCTAGAAAGGGGAATGCAACCACTCCACTAGAAGTCCAGAGGAAACAGCTTCCTATCTACCAGGCCAAACCTCAGCTCCTGAACCAGCTGAGGCAGCTGAGCAGTGCTGTTCTGATAGGTGAGCTACAGCGTTAGCACGAGTTAGCCCACCATGCTAAACAGGTAGCCGCTTGTTGTGCTGCTGCATTTAAAGAAACATTACACCTTTTAAAATAAATGTGTTGTTTGTTATCACATCTTGCTAAGAAGGGGTTTTCGTTTTTTATTCAGCTTGTTCAGTTCATAAACAGACATTTAATCTGTTCAAATGTCACAAACTACTCCAAGCTACGGAGCCCCTGAAGTCCCAAAATACATAGTGTTTAAAGGTGCACTGTGTAGTGACATTTGAAAGTTGGAGAAGATTTCTAAAATATTGATGTTTTCTGGTTTTTACGACAGGTGGTTTAATAAATTTGTTAAGAACTGTATATTTGCTGACATGATATATATTTGGGACTTCAGGGGCTCCGTAGTTTGAATGATAATAAAGCTGTCAAACCATACAATATATGCAGTGTTTCCCCTACCATTATATTGGGGTGGCTTTTTGTGTCTTTATTGTAGAGATAGGATAGTGGAGAGAGTCGGAAATCAGGGAAAGAAGTCATTAAAGGATACCTTTCCGATAGAAAAGGACATCTGTCATTAAAAGTAACACATGAACACCAAGATTCCTTTAAGTGTTTGTGTCTTCGTGTCGGCTTGTCCCCACCCACCCAATGCTTTAAACCTAGGGGAAACACTGATATGTCTTATCAAGAGTGTAAAAAATATATAATGAAAAAAAACTATCTATCTAACTATAAACTATCCCCCTAACTGCTCGGGCACTCTTTCATATTCAGGGGGGAAAGAATAATTTCTAATTAATGATGTGAAAATGTTGTTATTGTTTTTATAGTCAGATAAATTATAGTTATCACCTTTTGAAGTTTTCAGAGTTAACTCTACTAAAAGTAGATAGCTTTAATTTATTTCAAACTTGAGCTCTCTCTCTCTCTCTCTCTCTCTCTCTCTCTCTCTCTCTCTCTCTCTCTCTCTCAAACATCAGGGGAGACTGGCTCTGGGAAGACCACTCAGATCCCTCAGTATCTGTATGAGGCCGGCATCGGACGTCAGGGCATCGTTGCCATCACTCAGCCCCGAAGAGTTGCTGCGATCTCTCTGGCAGGACGGGTGGCAGAGGAGAAGAGGACTCAGCTGGGCAAACTGGTACCCACATTGAACAATTTTCCACATGCATTCTTTGAGTAAATATATGCACTTAAAGCTTCCCCGAATTTCTTGCCAAATTGCAAAAGTTATGTCTACACCAAATATTTCTCGTTGTATGGATGCTTTGAGTCGTACCTCAGGTCATTTTCCTCCTCAAAACCGTCTCAGCTGATCCATCACAAAGTAACCATGAAATTAAAAATGAATGTTCTTTGTTTTGATCCAAATAAAATCACAAGGCCAAAGTTGGTAATGATCCAATCAAATTCAAACCAACATTAAGTCCCGCCTTCTGTTTTGTGATTGGGTCTATCTTGTTTTAGTTGGAAATACGTCACAACACAGCAGTTACTCTCGATGCTGTCGAACCTCCGTTTCTCGGAGGCTTTAATATTTCAAAATGTTTTTTTACTACTGTTAGTAGAAATTGTCTCTCGAGGTCTTTTACTATCACTCATTAAACTTCCGTCCAGGTCGGCTACACCGTACGCTTTGAAGATGTCACCTCCTCTGAGACGAAGCTGAAGTTCATGACAGATGGGATGCTCCTGCGTGAGGCCATTGGAGACCCCTTACTGCTGCGCTACACTGTGGTGGTCCTGGACGAGGCTCATGAGCGCACTGTGCACACTGATGTGCTGTTTGGTGTGGTGAAGACGGCTCAGCGCCGACGCAGAGAGCTTAACAAGATCCCACTGAAGGTAGGAGGAGTCGTAATGTAAACACCAGACTGATCTCGTCAGGTGACAAAGTTCCTGAAGCTCTGCACGTTTGTCCTGTGTTACCTGCACAGGTGATCGTGATGTCAGCTACCATGGATGTGGATTTGTTCTCCGAGTACTTCAACAAGTCGCCCGTACTCTACCTGGAGGGCAGACAGCATCCCATTCAGATCTACTACACCAAGCAGCCGCAGTCAGACTACCTGCAGGCCGCGCTCGTCTCCGTCTTCCAGATCCATCAGGTACTTTTCTATCTTTCTCCTTTAAACATGTTACACATGAATAAAGCAGAAATTAGGTTTATCTTGTGTAAATGTGTCTGAGTCATGACTGTCTACAATGAGTGAGACGCTCAAGTCCCGCTGGCTGTGTTGTTGTCAGAGCCGTGTTTACATCTTTCTTAGATCTATGGTCAATCTGTAGAGATAAGCACATTTATCCCTCAAAGTCAGTTATCAAACACTTGTGGAAAAAGATTTATAATGAAGACAAGATGGTCACTCAACTGGAACATAACTGAGCATGTACGTGCATCACCGCTTGACACTCTGCAGAGTGATGATGCTCGTTGTAATCCATATAGCGCCCTCTGCTGGTGACAGAGAACTGCTAGTTTAATAAAATGAAACTGAAATTAAATGCTATTTGACTGGTGAATAAATCTAGCAATATTGGCTAGGGGTGGGGAAAACATTTGATGTAAAAATCAAGATTCTTATCTTTTGAGATATTAAAAAGATTCATAACTTCCAAGAATCTTTTACGTTTTTGGGCTAATCAGTCACTCCTTGCTAAGTGCTAATGCTACCTCTTTAACTCCGTAGAAAGCCAAATAGAGCAGTGAGAACTTCAGCCAGTATCACAGATGACTGAAGTAGATCCTTAAGTATGTACTCATTCATAAATAGACTTTGAATCCATGCATGGACCCAGAATGGTTTAAAAATGGAAAATAGATTCTCAATCGAATCGACCCCAAGAATTGTAATCGAATCGAATCATCAGACACCCAAAGATTCCCAGCCCTATTATCAGCGCATATCAGTGATTGAATAAGCCGATACCGATAGTCACTAGATATTCTATTATCGGCTGTCCAATTTATTGGTCAGGCTTTATCTTTGACTGCTCCTGTCTTAATCAAAGAGGCTATTTTTTTTGCATCTATCTCAGCCTGTTGACTTCTAGGTTTGGATTAAGTGTGCAGGTTTCTCCTCTGCACCTCTCAAAATGTTCTTCAGTAACGACGTAACTAAGTGTAACTTTTTTTGATGCCCTGAGAAGGTGCAGTCTCACACCTCCTGACCAGATGTAACAACAGTAATAACTTTAAACGGATTTATGCTTAACCTGATGCTTCCTAAAAATAATAAGAATGACGACAATCTTTAAGATTTAAACTTCCAGTCCTGCAGTAATTCACAGAATAGTTTTGTGCTGCAGCTCCTCTCAGTCTGGGCTGCAGCTGTGAGTCTGCCTCCCTTTATTTCCAGCATCCAGCTGTGATCTGTAGTTTGTGTTGATTTAGGCGACAGCGGAAAAAAGTCTCTCACAGGTAGGATCAGGATGTGTCAAAAAGAACGAGTCTCTTAATTACACACCGTGGTACAGGTGGAGACGATGGCGAGATGTGACTCTTCATATGGTTTTTATCTTAGTTTTAGCCGTTGTGACATCTGCTGTAGATTCTTAATCAACCTCTTGTTTACCTGGAAGTTCTCTCTCAGAATTTGCTGTTCTTTGAACAAAACAGTGTGCAGTGTTTTTATTTAGCCCCCCCACCCCCCTCGCTGTCATAACCTCTGCGCCCCACGTTGGGAGTCACTGGCTTAAGCTATCCACAAACATATTTTGACATCATTTGCATACTTCTGGAAATACATCCAACCATATACAGTGTGTGTTCATGCAGACGTGAATTTCATAGAAGAGCAGGTTATTGATCCTGGCAGGAGGATGTGAGGCTCATGATGCTCTGACCCTGACGTATATGTCCTGACGTACATAATGACTCGTATGGAATCAAAGCTAAACCCCAAATACTCCTCCTCCCTCTCACCTTTAGTGCTACAGGAAACACAAACGTGTGAGTCAGCAGCTTCCTGTGTGTGTTTACGCTCTGTGCTGATTCTTTCCGACTTGTTGTTTGTGCACAGGAGGCACCGCCGTCCCATGATATCTTAGTGTTCATGACGGGTCAGGAGGAGATCGAGGCTCTTGCCAGGACGTGTCGAGACATCTCCAAGCATCTCCCTGACGGCTGCAGTCCCATGGTGGTTATCCCTTTGTACGCGTCGCTTCCTCCTGCACAGCAGCTCAGGGTCTTCCAGGCCGCTCCGAAGGTAAACAGGAAACATGTTTGTGACAAAAATAGCCACAGCTAAGAGTGCCTTTTTTTTGTCATGATCTTAAAGCTATGTGTCAGGTGGTTAATTTAAATGATTGCATGCCTCAAAGTAAAAGTTGTCTTCCTCGTTTTCAGGGATGTAGGAAGGTCATCCTCTCGACCAACATCGCCGAGACGTCGGTCACCATCTCTGGGATCAAATACGTCATCGACACGGGGATGGTGAAGGCCAAACGCTTCAATCCTGGTGAGATGATTCAGTCCTCACACACATTCCTGAATTTGTTATGACAGTTGACAGTAAAAACAGAATTATTTATTTCTAAAGGTTGTTCATTAATATCACTTTTAATTAATTAGACTTCTCTTGATTAATAATTTAGGGATTGTGCATTTCTAAAATTATTGAACTGAGATTTTTTTTAAGCTGAAGCACCACCTGCTTACTTATAAATTAAAACAACAGAAATTTGGTCCTTTACTGTGAAATCTGGCAAAAGAGGCACTTTAGTTTGCACTGTGTCCTATATTCAAGTATCAAATGCTGACCAACACGCCGTCATTACTGTGTGTGCAGTCACCGCCATTGCTTGCAAGTTGTGGAGATACATATCGACGCAGGCCATGCTGGCAGTGCCACTTTTTAAAATTAGTTTCTCCGTCATGAGGTCGTAATGGTGAACTTAAAGAAAGCTGTGGTAACCTTGTGGGGCGCTGGTTTGATTGTAAAACTCCTTTAAGGCAACAAGTGACCAGCGGATGGTGGCAGCTCCACCTACGGGCTGGGTGTCGGTTCTTTACAACTTTGATCGCAGGCTGAGAGCTCAACTACCCCGTACTGTAGCTAGTAGGAGAGCAAACTCCACAAAGTGAAAACAGACGGAACTAAAAGAGCTGCACAGAAACTGAACCTTGTAGACTTTTCTGAGGACAAAGAAATCATCATGCAGGAAGTCAGTTTAAACCTTTCTTCTCTCTGAGAGAAAAACAGATTTTACTGTATATACCTGTGCTTCACTTTAAAAGGAGCTCTGCCTGTAAAGACATGTTGACCTGTTTGCATCAACAATGCTGTCTTTAAATGTACAGTAAGTCTCTCTTGCAAGTTGGCGGCAGAATTATTAGTTAGTTAAACCAAGTACTATTATTTTTCCTGCCTTGACCCGGCCATACTAAAAAATGGCCGAAATACAACCCTGTTCCTCTCACCTTATCATGTGCATTCTGTTCTTCTCTCAGACAGCGGGCTGGAGGTCCTGGCAGTGCAGCGGGTCTCTAAAGCTCAGGCGTGGCAGCGGGCCGGCCGGGCTGGCAGGGAGGACTCGGGCTCCTGCTATCGTCTGTACACGGAGCAGGAGTTTGACAACTTCATCCCCATGACTGTGCCTGAGATCCAGAGGTAGGAGAGCTTTTGTTGTCACACAGATAATAAAGCTCAGTATGAGTTCATGGGCAGGAGTCGGAGTCTGTCCCATCGCTGGATTTTTTTAGGTCAGGGTGATGAATTGTCTTCTGTTCTTCCCACTGTGTGTGTGTGTGTGTGTGTGTGTGTGCTGCAGGTGTAACTTGGCTGGTGTGATGCTGCAGCTCATGGCTCTGGGGATTCCAGATGTCATGAATTTTGATTTCATGTCAAAGCCTTCTCCAGGTGAGATGCTGTCGATCACTTTCAGTGCAGTAACCAGCAGGTCGGGGGTTAAGGGGTTTGTCTGGCGTCCTGAAATGTACGCTCACAGGAAATCACCACTTGTCAAGTTGTATGTTGGGGCCTTTGGAAAGCTGTGCACCCAGCAGTGTTGCTGTCTGGTGTTAACCTGTTGTGTTGATCCCAGAGGCCGTCCGCTCTGCCGTGGAGCACTTAGAGCTGCTGGGAGCTTTGGAGAGGAAGGAGGGCCAGGTCCTCCTCACTGCTCTGGGGAAGAAGATGGCCAGCTTCCCTCTGGAGCCCAGATACGCCAAGGTGAAAAAAAAAAACAGTGTTTGGAAATGCATACTATTACATAAAGTGACAGTCTGCGTCCAGCGGCGCCACACGGGGTCACACGCATGACCCGAGAGAATTTGGTGTAACACTTCTGCGCCTTGTTTGCTCCGTCTCACAGACCATCCTGCTGTCCCCCGACTACTCGTGCTCCGAGGAGATTCTCAGCATCGTGTCTCTGCTCTCGGTGGACACCGTGCTGTTTAACCCTCCTGCCCGGCGGGATGAGGTGCTCGCTGCACGCAAGAAGTTCAGCTCCAGTGAAGGAGACCACATGACCCTGCTCAACATTTACAGGGCGTTCAAGAAAGTCAGCGGTAACAAGGTGAGTCAAAGGGACGAGTGAGGGAAAATAAAAAATGTGTTTGTGAGCAAATGAAAACGTTCTCTTTGTTGTTGAAGGAGTGGTGTCGGGAGAACTTTGTCAACAGCAGGAACATGGGTCTGGTGAAAGAGGTCCAGGCTCAACTCAAAGACATCTGCCTTAAGGTACAGACTTTAGGATTTACCTCCACTGTGCACGGGAATGTCCTGTGCAATATCACAACAAATGAATATCACAGTGAAAGGTCACATGACCCTCACACAAACACGAGATTCTCCTTCCTGAGTCTTTAGTAAAAAAGTCGTTTCAAGCCTTTAAATTAGAATACCAAAAAGTATGTGTGCTGTTACCTCATTCTGTCCGAGGGATTCTTTTTGAAGTATGGACTGATATTATCTATATAATTAAGATTACATCACAGCCTGCTGTTTCTGGACCTCGGTCAGTAAGATCAGGGGAGACTCCTCCACTGCTCCAGGGCGAGCTTTTTGTAAGACGTTTTTATTTTCTGCCTTCATCGGAGCGTGAGAGCAGACAGAGCAGAGAGAACAAAAGCAGCAAGCTTGAAAGTCAGACCTCAACCAGGGATACATATACCATATATATTCAGCCAAAAAAAGGGTTAGGGTTACTATATCTCTTACTCTTCTATTCAAAAACTGTCTATAGTAGGTCAGGTAGAGTTAACTACATCAGGGGGCTGCAGGGGGATCATTGGAGTTACATTGTATGGTCAGAGGCTGAAGTCCTCCAAGCATGCGGCTCAGATTCGCAGGCTCCTTTCCTGCATGTCATTCCCCTTTCCCTTTCCCTTTCCCTCTCCCTCTCTCTCTCTCTCTCTCTCTCTCTCTCTCTCTCTCTCGTCCTATCTCTACATAAAGGCATAAATAATTAGCAGCGACCGTGGGTTCGACTGATTTATCTTGGATTTTTGTTCCAGATATTTGGAGCATAAATCAGAATGTTACTCCTCCATGTCATTTGCAGACGGTCTGAAAGATGACCTACTACTGTGACTGAATTCCCGTGTCCTTTCTGCCCCTTTTATCAGCTTAATTTGAAGATGGAGTCTTGCGGGGGGGAAACAGGGAACGTCCGCCGCTGCCTTGCCCACGGGATGTTCGTCAACGCCGCCGAGCTCCAACCTGACGGGAGCTACTTAGCCCTCGACACCCACCAGCCCGTGGCCATCCACCCCTCCTCCGTCCTTTTCCAGGCCAAGCCAGCGTACGTGGTGTTCAACGAGCTGCTGCACACGTCCCGCTGCTACATGAGAGACCTGTGTTTGGTCGACGCCGACTGGCTGCTGGACGCAGCGCCAGAATACTTTGGACGCAAACTCCGCCCAACCAAGAGCTAACGGAGAGAGAAAGAGGACGGAGGAAGGACCAATCAGCAGGTGACAAATAACAATTGATGCATTCTGAATTTGGAGAAAAGACACTTGGTAATTTCCTACAGAAACAAATCGGACCAGAACACTTTTTGTGCAGAACACGTCTCTGGATTTCACTACCTCTCAGTTGACGAGCGTTTGGCTCGCGTCAACGAAGCAGAACTCTGAAGGCCTCTCAACGTGGACTTCCTTCAGATTTTAGAAACGAGAAAACAATGTTTCCTCTGCCTGATAACATCTAATCTGCACTTTTTGCAAAATGTCTTTTTTGAGATGTCACGCATACATTCAACCTTTGCATGCATCTAACAGCACAGATAGTTTTCAAAGAAGCAGTATGTTGTTTATCAAATCACACATTGTATAATACCATTCTCCAAAAACAACACGCCAGCTGCTCTACAAAGTGGAGCTGATGGTTGTTCTCTTCTTCTTCACTCCTCCTCAGAAAGTTAGCTTGAACTGGAAAAGGCGTGTTGATCATTTTTGATAAGTAAGTTATTGGTTTTTAGGAAGTGGTCTTTTATTAAAGGGTCACTAAACCCCAGAGTTTCAGCTAAAGTGCATCAGGTTAGCAAGTTTAGCTCGGTTATTTAGGCCTGAGCGACGACTCGAGTAGCAGCAACTAAACGGCCGATGACGAGGACAGGGAAGGGCGGGAGAGGAGAGCGTCTCTGAATGGTTTACGATGCCCCCTTGAGGATTTGGATGGTATGGCCTTAACAATTTTAAATTAAAAGCCCCCCTTACAATCGCCATATTTCACGTCAAGCAAATTAGATTTCAGATATAATCAATTCGTTCAATCCTCTCATCCCACTTGACGAGTCTGCTGGGTCACTAAAGCTGGCAGTACTATCGTCACCTGCCTCCAGACAGTCAATCCATTATCGATACTGCTTTTCCCGTTTGGAGTCGTGGGGGAGCCGATCCCAGCTGTCATTAGGAGGCGTGGTTACACCCTGGATTGTTCACCAGTCAATCACAGGGCTGACATATAGAGACAGACAACCAGCCACACTCACATTCACACCTACGGGTAATTTAGAGTCTCCAGTTAACCTAACGAGCATGTCTTTGGACTGTGGGAGGAAGCCAGAGTACCTGGAGAGAACCCACACATGCACGGGGAGGTTCCTGTCAGACAGGGATTCAAACCAGGAACCTCCTCACTGTGAGGCAACATCACTAACTACTGCAGCACTGTGCAGTCTGCCTCTACATCAGCCAATAGAAATATATATTTGCAGTTCCAACCTGTAGAGGGCAGTCTCTGCACATTTCTAACCAAATGTGAAAAATTGCAATACGTAGTCAAATGAAGAGATCTTGACCTGGATAAATCAACACCGGTACTTAATACCCGTATACAGCAGTGATCCTGGGGTTCAGTTACTCTTTAATGCAAAGACGGTAGATTTGTCTTAATACATGAACCAGCTTTTGAAAACTAAAATCACCAAAGGGGGCGTTTTTTACGTGCTCACAGGGACATGATTCACTCATCTCTTGAGCCTCTGCATGCCTTTTGTTCACATCCATGATTGTAACACTAGGTCGCTGTTCATGCACATCAGGGGAAGTAGCATGCCTTACTCTCCAGGTTCCACTCTTTGACACCACATGTAACTCAGCCCCCCCTCCTACACAGACTAACCATCGATGTATGCCGACAGAAAATGTATGCAATGCATGGAGATTAGAGTTAGCCACGTGACCTCTCAGGTCTCTCATAGAATCATCACCATGTGGAGGAATACCATGGATGCTCCTCTCGTCTTTTTTGCACTGGACTCAGGATTGTACAATATTCACTGTAACCTGAATAAATGACATAAACAGTTTATAACTTTTAACTGCAGAGGATTCTCAGACTTTGTGTTTGCAGCCTTTGAATCTTTTAAAATCCACTTCACCATGTTTCTAAAACTAATATGTGTCTCTAGTCCATCTACAAACCCCCCAATTATAAGAAAAGTCCATCCTCTTCGTCTTTTTCCTGCTCCACTTTTCAGAAAATGTGTGCTCAAACAGGCCGTTTGGAGATTTTCCCTTCATGACATCACAAAGGGCAGTAACCCCTCCCCCAGGTGGGTGACACTCCCACAGCTAGATGTTTGTTCTGCCCGCTGAGTCTGCCTTCTCACCGTAAACAATAGGACATGGAGCGAGAAAGCCCGAGCCACACGAGTCCTTCCAGAGAGGGGGCGTGGTCAGACACAGCTCATTTACATTTAAAGGTACAGACACAGAAACAGCCTGTTCTGAGCAGGGCTGAAATAGAGGGGTTTATAGACATGATCAAATACAGGATCAGAGTGGATTTAGAACAAGAAACTTCACACACATGTTTTGAGGAGCTCTGAGACTTATTTAAACTGGTTGAAGAGGAGGAGAATATGGACCTTTAATCATAAAGAACTCTTTAAAGAAACAGCAGACCAGTGAAGATCTGCATGTCATGACATTTGGAAGATAAAATACCTGTGATTAATTTATTCGAGGTATATTTAATATCATTTTTTAGAGTCTTTAACAAAATTCATATTGTAAAAAAAAAAATGTAATCCACATGGTCAATAAAGACTAACTCTGTGACACATTAACGTTAATCTGTGACTAATCGAGCAGCTTTAACATATCTGACCTGAGAGCGTTAAAAAAAAGATCTTTGAGTCTTTTTCATTTCATACAAAGTAAAGAAATATTAATGTTTTATTGGAGATTAGACCAACATTGGATTGTCAGCCAGCTTTAAATTCAGTGTCGATGAATAAAACGCAGCAGGGGGAAAGGTCTTTTAAGTTTAAAACTTGGTTATATCGAGAATGATTTCACTGCTTGTTTTGTAAGGACTTTTCACTTTGGAAACTCATTTCACTCAGGAGATGAGTGAATCACCTGGAAGAAGCTTAAACACATAGAAAACAGAAAGAAATGACTGGTCCTGGGTTTGCTTTTCTGTCCTGCAAACAGCTCCCTCTCCTGGCCACATGGCTTCATTTCTTAATGATTCAACCTATTTGAAACCCATCGAGCTGATAAAAAAAAAAGTCTTCACCTGAAGTTATCTAAATCTCTCATAGAGGACGTCAACAGCAGCTAGAAACTGAATTCATGTCACAAGATGTGGAATTCACAGTGCAGCAGCTTCCTTTAGTAAAAATGTAACAATACAAAGACCTGTTTTGATACAACAGCAACGCTATTTACTTTTTTTTTTACTTTAATTATACATACTTCATTAATCCCTGCGTGTGAGATTTAAATTTTGTATCAGCTGCTGTCTGTTTTTTTTTTTTTTTTTTAAATCAAAGAAGCCCTCGAAATGACAGAAAAACCACTGACCCCCTGTTGACAAGACATCCCCTCCCTCCTTTAACTATGTCAGGGGTTCCCAAACATTTCAGCTTGCAACCCCCAGCTTAAGGGTGTCAGAGACTTGGGACCCACACTGTCCCTAGAGGTGGATAAATCATATAATTTAGTGCACAGCCTCGCAAAGGCATTAATAGCCCTATCCAAACACTGGTAACAAAAGCATAACACAAAAAGGAAGGCCTCTTTTGACCCCTGAGGGTCCAGACCCCCACTTTGGGAACCACTGCCCAATGTGATGGTATTTTGGCTTTTACTTTTATATTACAGAAGATGTTTTTAAACCTCGACCAGAATCTTTAAATATTCAGTTTTTGTTTTAACAGTGGAGGGAGTCGGTGTGCAAAAATATTTAGCTTGGGTCTTTTCTGGAATCTTCTTTGAAAACACTTCTTTCAAAAGCTAGGGGACGCTGTTTGATCCGTTTTTATAAATCACTTTTTAAATTGTTATTATTTATTATTAAACTGTTATTTGAATGAAATAACTTTAGTCGTATTTAAGATCAACTTAAGATAGCGGAAATATTTCAATTGATTTATTAATTTTAAATATATTATTTAGAAACGTATTGGTATTTAAATACAAACGTGAAAATCACCGCAATACAACAACAAAAAACATACAATTCAAACTAAAATTTAAAGAAAACTGACAAACAGAATTAAATACAGTTAAATATATAAATAAACAGGAATGAAGCGAAATCTAAATAAAATGAAAACAATGCATAAAAATAAGCTAAAGTCTTGTACTAGATGTCTTCATATATTTTCAGGCACCGAGGAGATATTTTTGCGTTTGTAAACTGTATTTTCTCATTGTAAAAATACTACTTCCGGTTCAGAGGTCATAGTTACTATAGGTCAATGTGCCCTTCCACACGTGTTTTCTGTAATCTTGCAGAAGGGGCTGTAACACGGATCTAGCCGGCTGTTATCACCTGTCTTAACTAAACGTACTGCCTATCTAAAGCCGTATTTATTTAATTAGAGGCGTTATTAGTGTTATATAATCATGCTAAAGTCAGTAGTCCGTGCGGTCGGAGCAGCAGTGCGTGTCTCCTCAGCCACCACATCCACAGCCCGAGCTCTGCCACTCAGCTGCCCGACACTCTGCGCTCCGAGCTCGGCGACGACTCGGCCCTTCACCCGGTCTCTGTGGATGCTGAATAACAACGGAGCGTCTTCGGGATACAGACCAAAGCTGTTCAGTTCAAAAGCGCTGCATCCCTCACTATCGTGTGGGTGTGGAGGACTGCACACAGAAGGTAACATTAAAAGACAAATGTGAAATTATTCACGTTTACTTACTTTAGCCAGCCAGCCATTCCAGCTAGCTAGATTAGCATGAGGCTAAGTTGCATGCTAAGAGGAAAATGCTCATTAGCCGCTCAGAGAGGACCTCAAGTGTGGTTAAAATGTGTCAAACGCTGACGTTCATTATTTACAAAGTCTTTTTGAACCATTCTGTTTCTGGTCAGTTGTGTCTTTCACATGTCAGACATCCGGTTTAGATGTTTGCTGGAAGCAGCTAGCTTTCACCTTGAAACATATGTACTGACAGTTTCACTAGAATGAATAAAAACACAAAGTTAGGGGAGGGAAACTACAAGTTGTACGAAGTTAAACACACGTGTTCTGTGTTCAAAAGTGAAATAGGTGAATAGTTGTCATAGTCTGTCATTTGAAGACTGATGTCAAGAGATGAGAGAGGCATGTTTGATGTGCAATGATACAGACAGCACATTAGTCACCGTTATTAGTGACTGCTCAGATAGTTTGTTGTTCTCTCTTTTGTAGTTCTTGATTAAATGCTGCACCCTAATAACACAAGTGCACCCTGAGTTTGAACACACACACACACACACACACACACACACACTAAAAACCCTCATATATACTGGGAGAAATTACATAATTGTGAGATTATAGCTGCAACATTTTTCAGTTTGTCAGAATCTCAGGACAACCAGTGGAACCTGAACACACACACACACACACACACACACACACACACTATAAAACATTCACTAGTCTCTTATTATCAAAATTAGAAAAGTTAATGACACTATCTTCAATGTATTTAATGTATCTGATTACTACTTGTGTTATTATGTCATTATTAAATATTATCATAATAACTACTGAATTATTGATCATTATTATTAATTACATACCTGACAGACTCCATCAGATGTTAGTTTGTGAATGTGTGTATGGTCTGGGTGGACTCTGGCAGCGCTTTGCCCTCTGGGATAGAGTACTACTATTTATTATTTGAATCTTTGTTATTGAATGTTTCTGCATTCAGGGCAGTAAAGCTTACTGCACTGAAGTGAATTAAAAGTTGAATAAATAGCAGCAGCCTGTACGTCATGTCACTAACAGTTCAGATTTATGTTTTTATTCGTAAACTAAATCAAGGTCATTACTAAATAACAATGAAAAGCTTAAGTCAGATGTTTCGTAGGGTAGTTAGGGGAGATGTGGGAATTCAGCTCTGTTGTACGCTCTCTTCACATTTAGACTTTATAGTGCTTAACTTTTTCAAACTTTTCTACAGGGGACAAAGCATTTGGTGATTTCCTGTCAGATGAAATCAAAGAGGAGAAAAAGATCCAGAAAAACAAAAGCCTTCCGAAGATGTCCGGAGGATGGGAGCTTGAGATGAACGGCACAGAGGCCAAACTCACGAGGATCGTCGCAGGAGAAAAGTACGTGTTTCGCTCTCGGTTTCATGTGATCCTTCTGGATGTTTCTGGGGTTAGCTAACACGCTCTTACTCTGCCTTCTCTCGTACAGAGTCGCTGTCACGTTCAACATCAATAACAGCATCCCGCCTAACTTTGAGGAAGAGGCAGACCAGGGACAGCAGAAGGCGGCGGAAGAGGAGGTGAGTTACAAGACATCTATTAACCTGCCTAATAAAAATGCGTCCTCTAAAACCATATAGGGCTCCTACAACATCTGACCGCATCCAGGAGAAAAAACAGCTGAGAGCGCCTGTGGAGTGAGGCTGCGTACACATACAGGCGGTCAAATAAAAAATGTGGGAACAATTGATTTGAGAAGTGCCATTTATGAGCACTGGGACTCCACATCTTGAGCTGAAAATTTGAAAATTTTTAACATTTATTGTGTCCCCCAAAAACCGCTAGAAAAACATTTAGCATCGCAGCAGACAAGAGCGCCCTGCAAGCACGCTGTACCGCAGTACCTCTAAAGCAGATAGAGACAGTAAAAAAAAAAACATTGATCGATGGAGTCTCCATTTATGGGACTCCAGCGCCCCCTGTAGGAACAGAAGGGTGACATCACTCAGGCTGCTTCCATTAATATTTACAGTCTGTGGTAACAACCCAGAAGAAGAGACGCTTGTGTGACGCTGTGCAGTGAAAGACTTTATGCATCAAGATTCTCTTGACATCCTGGCTTAGTTTGAAACGTGATTCATCCAAACACCATTCCAAAAGAAGAAAGCTTTTTGCTCGTCTAGTTTTGGACAGACGGGACGATACTAGAAATCAGACTTTTTCAAATCTGCATTTTGATGTGTTTATTTCAGCATATTTTTAACCCTTTAGTTGGTTTAAAGTGTTGTAATCATTTCAGTTTAATCAAAGTTTGACCTTCTGGATTCTATAAAACTGCCACAGTCCAAAGCTGGGTGGTGGACAGCGGCTCTGCAGCTGAAATGTAATTTCATCAGCTGGTGTCGCTTGAAAAAAATCCTGTTGCAGAGCTGATCTTGATCCGAGCTAATGGATCGTCACACTGGGCTCTGATCGACCTCCAGTACCTGGAAGTGGCAGTACAGTGAATCCAGAAAAAGTTCTGTGAGAAGCCAGAGAGTTATCTGATCTGTGTGTGCCTCCTGATGATGTTTAGAGGCCAGGAGGCCAGACACAACACATTGAGGTTTTTACTGACCTATTGGAAGAGGGAATATTCTAACTAACTGCAGAAAACACAAAATAATTCCCTCTTGCAGAAGTAGTGCAGTAGTGGATAGACGTACATTAAACATGAGAAGACAAAAACAGAACATTATTGATCTAAGCCTGTTTACATTAAAATAAGGAACATGACACAAATCTTTTTCTGTCTCCTACAGCAAGAAATTGTGTCAACACCTAACTTTGTTGTTGAAGTAACGAAACAGGCTGCGAAACACTCCCTGGTGTTCGACTGCCATTTCCCCGAAGACGAGGTAAGCATCGTTTAATTTCTGCTTCAGATCAAGTGTTCCTGCCGTCAGCTTCAATAGCTGTGTGAGTGTTTCAGGCACATACCAACACATGTTTGATGTTTTGTAGATGAGCCACGGGGAAGGAGAGGAGGAGAGCGACATCTTCGCCATCCGCGAGGTCAGTTTCCAGCCGGAGGGCGACTCGGACTGGAAGGAGACGTGCTACACACTCAACACAGACTCTCTGGACTGGGTAAGATCTGAAACTGAATAAAACATCCAGACTCACAACGAAGCTGCTGATACCTCTTCTTTTTTTAAACCTGAGACATTATATCTGATGATCTGTTTTTTTCTGTTGGGTTGTTTCCAGGCTCTGTATGACCACCTCATGGACTTCCTGGCTGACCGCGGGGTCGACAACACCTTCGCTGACGAACTGATGGAGCTGAGCACAGCTGTGGAACATCAGGAGTACATCAAGTTCCTGGAAGACCTCCAAGGATTTGTCAAGTGTAACTAATGTTCGATTAAAAGCTACATTTCATTGTTCTTTAATGTTCTTCCTGGCAAAGTGGGAGGAGTGATAGTATGATAATGTTGCAGCGCTGATGATTGATTGGTTGATATTTTTTGACACTCTAAAGACTCGTACCATCGCTTCCTATAGTGTCACCGAGCGTTGGCCAACACTCGGCTGCGAATGTGTTCGCTTTGTTAAAATGTGAGTTTATTTTTCTGTAACTTAAATTAAATATATGAAGGTCGGGGGGGGGGTCCAGCTCCAGCTCCAGCTCCACGGTCTAGCTCCACGGTGCTGCTTCATGGTCCTGCTTTGAGGAGTACATGTGGACTCTGTTAGACGATAATATCTGAAGACTAACGTTGGGTGGCCTACAGCAGTGTGTGTGTCAGAGAGTGGAAGATCAGTACGTCCAATAAAACAGTTTGATATTAACATGTGATGTTGTGCTTTTATTTAAAGGGGACACATTATGAAAAATCCACTTCTTCAGTGTTTCTGAACATATATTTGGGTAACCTGAGTGTCTACAGACCCACAAAATGTGAAATAAACTCATCCAGTCCTTTGTTTGTGGTCTGCATAAGTCTTACAACACAGAGAAAAATGCTCTGTTTCAAATTAGCTCTGCTTGTGATGTCACAGTGGGATTCTGGTAAAAAAAAATCCCCTCCCCTGGTATCTCCACCCATGGACTCCACCCCCAGCCTAGAACAAAACTTTTTCACAGGTCCACCATTTTTATTCTCACTACAGAGGATTGATGTCTACGGGGAAAACTCAGGGTGGCTCATTGCATTTAAAGAGACACACACCAAAACGGAGCGTTCTGAGAGAGCTGGTTTATACAGGGTCACAAACCTCCTCTGGTGCTTGATTCATGTTATATTTTGACCAAAGCACAGCACAGATGTTTCATTTAGACCACAGGGGACTGTTTGAAAAGGTGGAGAAGGGGGATAATATGTCCTCTTCAAACTGCTTCATAGACTTCTAGACACTTTTTTTCCCCCCAAGGCACACAATCACTACCCACTGAACACAGCTCCACGAGCCACCAGTTGAGAACCACTGAGTTAAATCCTCCTTTTCATACAGCATTGGAGGAAAGTTTGGCTGGTAAATGACTTCCTGCTTAAAGTCAAAGAGAATTGATTATTGGATATTGTGTCCCTGTAGTATATAGCCTATTAGTAAAGATGGTTTAAGACTTTATAATTATTACTGCTGTTATTACTGCTGCTACTACCACAACTACCTCTAATAATAACAGTAAATAAATAAATGAATGCATAGGCCTACAGAAAGACAGACATGTACGTGGAGGACACATGGTTGTAGATGTTCTACAACATGATGTATCTGTGAGCTTGTTGACAAATGTTTGCTGTTTGAAATTGTCATTTTGTGTCTTTTAATGTTTAATAATTCATCTCAACGAGTTTGTTTCCCCTGGTTAAAAAAACAACAAAAAACAAACAGTATTAGTTGTAGTTATCGTAACTTTATTATGAGATTGGTGGATTAACAATTACCCCTTTCTGGTGGGAAGAAGGACTTTACTACTGTAGCATGTTGCCATAATGATAGTACTAAGCTCTTACAAAACAGTACACACACACACACACACACACACACACACACACACACACACACACACACACACTGTGTCAGAGCTTTGCAGGGTCACAGTTGTCTCTGCTGACAGGTGTGGGGCCTCGCTGCAGTCCGCGTCTCTTGTTTGAGGAAATATTGGAGTATCTGAAGAAAGCAGGAGGAGGAGGAGGAGGAGGAGGAGGAGGGAGAGTCAGTCGAAGAGAAAGTTCACAGTTTGTCCGACAACACGGTGTGGAAACGCAGCATGGCGGGCAAAGCGCGAGTGTGTTCGTCCGGACAGAGCCAGCTCCAGCAGGACTCGTCGGACTCGGACTCGGAGGTGGAAGGTGAACCCGCCCGGGTCGAGGGTACCGGCCCCTCCACGCACTCCCTCCCCGGCTCTCAGGTCATCCACAGCGGACACTTCATGGTGTCGTCGCCCCACAGTGACTCCACGGCGCGCAGGAGGAGGAGCGGAGGCTCGCACAGATATGACTTTGACACGGTGAACAGGACGTGGTGTCAGACGTACCGGTACGGGCCGCTCAGCGCCGCGAGCCTCAGCATCGACCCCACGCTGACCCGTCTGTTTGACTGCATGTCCCTGGCCTACAGGTGGGTCACTCTCACACAGTAGGCTACTCGGGGACAGGAGGGAAACCGATGTCAGTGTTTGGCTGCTTAGTGCAGAAATGCCCTTTGAACAACATATGTCCAGTTTGATCCATTTCAACTGAGGCTGGACTCCTCTTCATTTACAGGGAACAGCAAACACATGAGGCTCCTTAGCCTTCATGAGTCATGATAAAGGGAGATATGAGAGATTAGAATTACTTTTATAGTCGATGTTTAAGATAAGAACTATGTTTAAAAGACAAAAGATAAGCCTATGACAACATAAAGAACCTGCATGAATACAGTCCTGCAGAGTTCTCCTCTGAAGTCCATCATTCTCATGTTTTATGAACTATAGGCCTACCTTTACCTTTCACAAACCCCTTCACTTTAAACGGATGCTTAACATTGTTTTGTAATGTTTGTAGTTGTGTCAGAAGAGTGATTTTGCAGTCTCTTTCGCAACAGCTTGGAAAGTCTTCACTGAAAGCTGGACTTTGATTCTAGTTGGCAGCACTGAAGAGATTATAATGTAACCGAGAGAGGAGCCTGAAATTATGCCCCTGTCTTGTTTTTTTTCTGTAGAGTCAGCACATTACTTTGACTTCACACCATTCTAGGTGTGCATTTTACATCAGAAAAGTAATACATCAGATCTGGCAGTTTATTGTTTTTCAAGGACACGTTAAGTTTTGACCAGACGCTCCATGACAGACGAAGCAGCTCAGACGAAGCAGCAGAGATGCTCTTCCAGGATCGCTTTCCCCTTAAAGAAACTATCAATGTTTTTGTCACAGTTGCTATCAACCGTTGGCCCTAAAGACACATCTCCACCCAGTGAGTGTGAGCCAGAGCCAGGCATTGTTACCAACACAACATTTACATTTTTATGACAGGTTTGAACATTTAGGTATGAACAATTAAATGGTAAATATGCTTCAGCTTGTTTAGTTCTTTTCTAGTCTTCTGACGACTCAAAGCGTTTTTACCCAGCAGGTCACACCTACACATTCACACACTGATGGTAGAGGCTGCTGTGTTAAAAGTCCATCAGAAGAAACGAATCTCATTCAAACACATTTATATACGCCGCAGACGAAGCAGCGGGAGCAACTTGGGGTAAAGTGTCTTCCCTAAGGAAACATCGGACATGTGGATGCAGAAGCGAGGATCGAAGGCCCGACCTTTCAGCTGAGAGACTTTACCACTGAGCCACAGCCGACCGACTAAAGGAATATCAACTCTGTATGGCTCTTTTTGAAATTAAATTGTATTTTGATCGAAAGGCTTAAATGCCACTCAAGTTTCAGGGACAAAATGCCAAAGTATCAAAGTACACAATGATCCAAAATGTGAAAGTGCACAAAAACAAGAACAAATCCCGCAAATCACATTTTTAAAATTGTATTTAAATGCATCTTTGTGCTTTATTTTCAGCATTATGTGCAGCAGGTAGGCTGTTTCTGCAAACTGCTGCTCAGCTGCAGGACTTATCATCAATCACTCGTGCTGATTGGTTCCTTCCCTGACATGTTTTTTTTTTTGTAATAAGCTGCCTGTTATGGAAAGTGTTACATGCAGCGATGTCACTCCATTAAAAGCGGGATGAAAAAAGAACCCTCTGGCTTCCTAGCAACTCTCGGAGCACCTCTCATTAGGAGGCTTCTTCTCTGCACTCAGCCGGCTGAGCGACACTGCAAAGAGTGCAAACAGCCCGGCGGTGTGGCGCTGGTGAATGAACTGATGGGGCACTATTAGTCAAAATCATGCAGTGTAGATTTTAACAGGGCTGAGGAAGTGAAGCTTCTAATTTGTTTTCCACTGAGTCTATTTTCTTCTGAAGACAAACAAGTCATTTCTGCATGTCTGACATGAAGCACTACATCATGCATTTTCCATTTTCAATAAAGAATTCCTCATGGTTAGAATTTGATAAATATGACTGAGTTTGTTTTTGCTTTTGCAGCGGTAAGATCGTCTCTCCTAAGTGGAAGTCTTTTAAGGGTCTACGGTTGCTGTGGAGGGATAAGATCCGTCTGAACAACGCCATCTGGAGAGCCTGGTTCATCCAGTGTGAGTCCAAACACTCCTCTCACTTTTTCTCTGTGCTGCACCTGTAACATCCACATCTCTTCAACTTATTCTCTCTCAAAATGAAGGACATTACTCCCAAACGCAAAAGGAATTCTCTAAAACGTGGCTCCACTTTAGCACAATCTGTTTTTTCTTTTAAAGCCGTGAAAGAATGGAACAGTCTTCCAACTAGTCTTAAACTTTGCACAAACTTCTGCACTTTCACCCACTTCTGCACTTTGATTTTAAGGAACCAGTCTTGTCAGCATTAATGTGTCATCTCGACAACCTGTTAGATCTCTCAGGGAAACTTGTACATAATGTTTTAATATCTGTAAATTGTCTTTCTTCTCTCTTATGAAATGTGTGTGTGTGTGTGTGTGTGTGTGACTGGTTGATTTGTATTTTGCTGTTGCCATCATCTGCCCAGGGACAACAAATGGAAATTAGCTAGCTAGCTAAATCTGGTACAAAGCATCTCTTCTCTTCTGAGACTAATGTTTTGGTTTTTTTGTACACTCTCCCTGATTCAAATAAACGATTAAACTAAACTAAAAGACTCAACTTCACATAATTTAAATATACAGTAAACTAAAGGAAACATCATCAGAGGATATTTCAGTCTGAATGCTGCATTCTGAGTGGGCTTGAAGGTCACATATTCGCCTCCTCTTCAGTGTAAATAAACTCAGAGCTCCTCAAAACATGTCTGTGAAGTTTCTTCCACTCTGATCCTGTATTTGATCATTCCTATAAACCCTCTAACCCTCTATTTCAGCCCTGCTCAGAACAGACTGTTTCTGTGTCTGTACCTTTAAATGTAAATGAGCTGTGTCTGACCACGCCCCCTCTCTGGAAGGGCTTGAGTGGACTCGGGCTTTCTTGCTCCATGTCCTTTTGTTTACGTTGAGAAGGCAGACTCAGGGCAGAACAAACACCTAGCTGTGGGAGTGTCACCCACCTGGGGGAGGGGTTACTGCCCTTTGTGATGTCATGAAGGGAAAATCTCCAAACGGCCTGTTTGAGCACACATTTTCTGAAAAGTGGAGCAGGCAAAAGACGGAGAGGATGGACTTTTCTCATCATTGGGGGGTTTGTAGACAGACTAGAGACACATATTAGTGTTAGAAAAACATGGTGAAGTGTATTTTGTGTAATATGTGACCTTTAAGCTAACAACAATACCTCGTGTTGAAGTTGAAATCAATGATATGAAAAAGTTGCAAAAGTATTTTAAGACTTGTTGACGGCTGACACTTAATTGAATTGGTGTGGGAAAACAAAAGAGAAAAGGAAAAGGGTAGAGTCAAAGTTGGAACTACAATATGATGCTTGTTTGGTGGCTGGGCACCATATAGGCACTGCATAGCTCTGATTATTTTGAAGCCTACTTGCTCTGCCCACATGTCTTTGTGTAGCTGGGAATTGGGATTCATATGCCTTTATTTAGAGACAGGACAGTAGGTAGAATCAGAAATCAGAGAGAGAGAGCGAGTGGGGAACGACATGTAGACGGCCTGGGTTTGAATCTGACTTGTGGTTCCTTTCCCGAACGTCGACCCCCACTCTCTCTGTCTCTGATTTCTGACTCTGTCCACTGTCCTGTCTCTAAATAAGCGTTAGCCTCACCTCCTGGGCCTATAGCTCCAAGCGGCTATTAGAGCTACTGAAAAATAAGTTTGTTGCAGTTCCTGGGTTGCTTTACCAGTGGTGTGATGCAGGGTGTACTCAGGTATATATGGAGTATACCCACTTATTATTCAGTCTCCATAGGATATACCCAGTTCAGAATCCCCTCTGATTTATCTGTTTTCTATCTGCTGTGTTTAGATGTGGAGAAGAGGAAGATCCCGGTGTGCGGGTTTGTCACGCCCCTCGAGGGCTCGGACGCAGACGCTCATCGGAAACCTGAAGTGAGTGATAAGAGTTATTGGAGGATATAATTTTGATTTTAACAGTCTGGGCTGCTCTTTAGCTACACATTTTCCCAATCTCATTTGGCAGTTATTTGAAAAAGTGACCTTACTATATGATCATTAAGGAAACATGCTATGTTGAAGTGCTGGCTTCTCTGACAGCAATGCAGCAGCCAGTATGTCCTCCTTCTAACTTTAGATTCTGGTCCTGAATCTGGATTTGTTTGGACCAGAGAAGGTAATCGGTTTTAAGACACCCCCACACGGCCGTTTTGGACGCCCCTCGGTTTGCCAGATATGAGAACAGTTATCAGGTCAAACCAACAGGTGTTGCAGCGATGGAAGCGGGCAAGAGAAGTGGTTCAGATAGAAGTGATTGTACCCGACCTAAAAAGCCTCTGCATGTTTCTAATAAGCTCCACGAGCAGAAACGTGCTCAAACTAGGATCAATATTGGAGATGATTTTGAAAAATGGAGAGAGGTTAGAACACAGAAAGGTTTACAGACTGATGCAGAGCTGGATAAACACTGAAGCTTCAGTGTTCACCACATGTTGACCTGTGTGAGCATCGACTCTAGAGAGGAGGGGGCGGGGGAGGCAGCGCTCTGCAATGTTTAGAATTTAGACTGCAGTACACATTTTAAACACTAGGGTCAGAGTTGCATATTGCTTCTTGAACTTTCGCTTTTTTGTGTTCTCTGTTCCTGATTCCTGATTTCATATCGTGCATTTCTGCATCATGTCAACAGGCAATCGTATTAGAGGGCAGCTACTGGAAGCGAAGGATCGAGGTGGTGATCAAGGAGTATCACAAGTGGAGGATTTACTACAAGAAGAGGGTGAGCACTCATCATTTACAAGCACACTGTTGACTGGTACACACTGATATACATCCTCATCTATTGGTTCATTTGAGATTAGTAGTTGTAGAGACATTTGTGGTCCCCAGAGGATGAATCATACTTTTCTAGAGCCACGAGCAGGTTGTCATTTGTAGGAAGTGAGTGAAGCATATGTGAATAATACTATTATTATTTTTTGCTTTTTTGGGAGGGGATATTTTCTATATATTGAATAGGACAGCTGAAGAGAGACAGGAGGGATGACATGCAGCAAAGGGCAGAGATCGGACATGAACCCACATATTTCAAGGTCCCCAGAGGACAAATTCTCTCGCACCAGCATGTCAAAGTCTCTTTAACTTAGCTTCTCAAAAATCTCCAACTCTACAACATTAATCAGAATCCACTTTTGAATAGATCCCCTGATGCTAAAGCCACGAGTCTTCCTGTCAAAGTCTTCCTCTAGTGTCCACCATTACATGCACTTACAAGTTATTCTGTAGTAACCTTTATGAACGAAGGGCTGCACGATGGTTAGCGCTGTTGCCTCACAGTGAGGAGGTTCCTGGTTTGAATCCCTGTCTGACAGGATCCTCTCTGTGTGGAGTTTACATGTTCTCCTCGTGCATGTGTGGGTTCTCTCCGGGTACTCCGGCTCTCTCCCACAGTCCAAAGACATGCTGCTTAGGTTAACTGCTGACTCTAAACTGCCTGTAGGTGTGAACGTGAGTGTGGCTGGTTGTCTCTCTCAACATGTCAGTCCTGTGATTGGCTGGCGATCAGACCAGGGTGTAACCCAGCCTCTCGCCCAATGACAGCTGGGATTGGCTCCAGCCCCCTGTGACCCTGAAAGGGAAAAAGCGGTATAGATAGATGGATGCATGGATTGATTTATTAACAAGTGTATTACAGAATGTCATCAAATTTTCTGCATACATGTTTTTCCCTCTTGTGATGATTTCTGCAACTTTTATGGTTATATGCACCTTCATTATGCCAAACTTTAGATATACAGTTATGTACTTGTGTAAAATAACGAGAACCCTTCTTAGCTGTTTAATGCTAATAAAGGAATGTTAGCATCCACTGAACTGAAGTGACTCTCTAAAACTTCACGCATTTTGTCTTCTTTTCTTCCGCAGCTCCAAAAAAAGAAGGATGATATTCTCTCAATGCTACAAGAGGTATGTGAAAAGACTTGCCTTAGTTTTATTTTCTTGCTTTTACTTTTAGATAAAAACTAAATTGTGGTCAGAATTGATTTTTGACCGCTGAGAACAGAAGTTGGCCAATGACCCCAGCTTCAGAGAGTGTTTGTGTGTGACCTTCTGGCTTTGTGTACTTTACAATGTGGTTCAACATATGATCAACAAAGTCACCCAAGCCACTATTTTTAGCACGTGGCTTAGTTAACTAGAGGGGGAAAACAGATGCTGGCGGGGGTGGAGAAAAAAACAAAACAGAAACGTGCAAAACAACTTGCGTCATGGCTCGCCATTTGTCAGCAATTGACACGTATTGATTGCCAGCAGCAACAATACCTCTGCCTTCCTCCAGGCTTCTTTATCATCAGTGGAAATGAAAAAGCTGCAGAATTTAATGTCATTTAATCAAATCTGACCTACTTCAGACAGCGCTGTGTGAAATCTGAGCAGCGGAGGGGCTAAAGAGTTTTGACAGTGACGTCACTGAGGCAGAAACAAACAGGATCAGGAACAATGTAAAGAGAGGGAGGGACCCTGGAGAAGCTCCTCATACATGACAGTATTCATGGGAGAACATGACATGTGACCTGCATGCCACAGCCAACTGTGCCACTGTGTCATCATCAGTCCAGCAGTCAACTGTGCAACATCGCTCTCAGTTTTGCTGTCACTGGAAGCCAAGATTTTAACACAATAATGATGATAACTAAACATTTTTAAGCATCCTTTAAGGAACTTAAGGACGCTTTACTTACTGCAAGATAATGTAAAAATCAGAACCAAAAAGCAAAGCCAGTGCTGAGGAATATGATCGTGCAATGTGCAGCTCTTCAAACAGGTCATATCAGCACAGAGTGAACAGGTCAAAGGTCACTAAACCAGGTCTCTATGTCTCTACGTTATCTCGTCTGACAGGTTACAGATTACGTCTGTGGCTGGGGGAAAAAAGCTCCTCAGTGAAACCGCATTACTTCTGTGATGTTGATGTCAGACACTTAATGACAGTTTTTGAATTCTTAAAGAATCAATCTGACTTTTATTTTCTATTAAAAATGAAGCTTCAGTCATATAAACACATTAACAATCCTATTCGTGCAAGGAAGGGGGGCCACTTTGTATCTTTTTTATTTATTGATTTAATGATTTTCTTTATTGAGTGATGTAGAACAGTGCGGGTGAGGGACCTGACCTAAGAGAGAGATACTACTGTATGTGGGAGACGTGACAACATGTGTGAACACTTTAGAACAACAGAGTGTCACACAAACAACGAGCAGCCAAACACACAAATACAAAAATACATCATTAGACATTAAAAGACACAGATAATAAAATCTGAGCAGCAAATGTTTGTCAAAATCATCCACAAACAAATCAGGGAGAACATCTGCAGCCAGATGTGTCCGCCTCCAACTCAATTAACTTCCTCTCAAAAGCGTCCAATCAGAGAGGCTCGTTAAGTTTCAGGTCTTTTTGTAATTTGTTACCAGTAAAGGGAGCAGCGAACTAATTACATCTTATAACATTGTATGTTGAGGGTGTGTGTGTGAGAGTGTGTGTGAGAGTGTGTGTGTGAGAGAGTGTGTGTGTGTGTGTGTGTGTGTGTGTGTGTGTGTGTGTGTGTGTGTGTGTGTGTGTGTGTGTGCCTAACCGGTAGGTGAAAGTATAAAAAAACAAATTTAAGAGGGGATTAAAAAAAAAGAAAAGACAAAAGACAAAATAAATTAATAAATTGATTAAAAAAACTCCTTTCCTCACCCCCCTGCCGATTTTGTTGCTGACAATCATAACTGCAGTGTGAGTGACCTTATTGCAGTGAGTTTAAAGTGCAGTAGTGCTCCATCATTTAGAAACAGTCCTCTGAGCTGTGAGGGTGTTTTCAGGGTGGAGATGAAGGCTACAGCTCGGGGAAAGAAGCAGTTCCTCAGCCTGTTAGTCCGGGTTTTAATGGTGCGGTACCTCTTCTGAGACGGTAGGGGGACCAACAGACTGCGTCTCGAGCTGATGTTGGTGGCTCTTTTTTTGAAGGCGGGGAGCAAACACAGCTCCTATTATCCTCTGAGACATGTCTCGGTTCATAAGAAAAGTTTTTGTAAGCTGCTTCTGGATGCTGGATGGAAGTATGAATTTGAATTTATTCATTTTAACAGGGACAATGCAGTTTAACATAATTTCAATACAAAGCATGAAACTGATGTGCTGCATAAAGAGTATATAGCTATTGCTCATTTTCAACTCGTGTCCCCAGTGTCTATCTGTCCAACTGGTGGATGGATTTCAATTCACGCAATGTTTTTTTCTGTTTGACAAAAGTCACTTGACTGTGTATAAAAAGTGGACGTAGTCAACATGACGTCAGTGAATGGTTTGTGTTTGGCTGTTGTGAAAAGTTTGTCATGATTATTGGTCCAGGGTCAGTTTTTCTGGAGCTCCGGGTGACATTTGGGGATCTTGAAAATCTGTGGAAAGGAGGAGAGCTGCATGGACTCAAAGAAGTGTAGGTGTGAGCTGCTCTTTGGAAAGAGATGGAAGCAGTCATAGCAAAAAAACAAAACAGGAATAACTCAGAGGCACTCTCTTTAAAACAATGAAAAGGCCTTTAAACCAGCAGGGAGGGAGGTGTGACCTGTTGTACTTTAAACCTCCAGGAGATGGCGTCCTCAAGAGGGTGGTTTTGGAGAGTAGCGGGGGATTGCCTTGCTGTGACAGGCTGCTTTCTTAATACGTTTTTAACTGTTCTGTTTCTGCAGGAATTGTTTTATTTGTGGAGAAATCAGCTTGAGTGGTTTATTTATTAGATACACAAAGCTAAGAGTTTGTGGATCTTGAGGGGAGGAGTGAGGGGCAGGGCGGTTTTGGATCTCGAAATAAGATAAAAGGCTGCTTTCATTCATGTTCATGGGTGTGGTGGGTCAGCTGTCTAGCTTCCAAGTCGGCGTCCATTCGGGTCCTCTCTCAGCTGCCGGCTTCACCTGAGTCTTGTCACGTCATTTAAAGGTAGACACAGCACCCGCTCTGTGCACACCTCAGTGATGGTGCGTTCAAGAACAATCGGACAACCCAGTGCAACACAGCTTAAACCCATTCATTATTTCCACCATGAAAACCAGTCCAGAGGAATTTACAAAACAGAAAGAAGTCAGAAGAAGAAGAACCTTACTGTTCCCCAAATGAGATAAAACAGCAATGACTCTCTGCGTGTGTGTGTGTGTGTGTGTGTGTGCGTGTGTGCGTGTGTGCGTGTGTGCGTGTGCGCGCGCGCGTCCTTACCTCTTCTCTGCCTTACAGATTCTGCAAACCTCCAAGTCATCTCAAGTCATCTCCCATCATCTTTTTTCCATGAACATAAAGTCATGTTATATACGTCCTACAGTTGTAGGGAACCCCCCTAAAAATGTAAATCATCCCAAGCGGAAGGGACAAATTGAAAAGAAGGTATATATTGTTCTCGCCACTGACACAGAGGCAGCAGCCGTCTGTGTTTGCCGGAGCCTCATTTTTTGCCCGCACGTGAGCGTGACTGACAGAATTAGGTCGGGGACAAAAGGCTGCTGCTCTTTGTGAAACGTTGAGACTTGAAAATAAAGAAACGAACAAAAGAGACATAATGATCAACCTGTAAGGGGCTAGTGTTTCTGAACAATGTGTCAAACCTGCATTTTGCATCAGTCATCAGTGACTGTGCCCACACACACACACACACACACACACACACACACACACATGCATATTCACAAAACAATCTCACCTCATTTCGACTTTTGCACTCTCCCTCTCCTTCAAATAAAATGAATGGAGAAGTAAAATGAATGAATTATGAGGAGGGATGTCGTCGTGCGCTTGGACGTAATCGACACAGTTTCCGGGCTCACTCCGGGCTTCCCTATAAATATGGTGTTAGACTTAGAAGAGAAGGGTAAAGACGAGAAGATCAGGGGGAAGCCAAACATCACAGACACAAGTCTTGAGGCCTCGTATCTGTAAGTTTTGTTTTTACTGGAAGAACAAGTTGAGGAAAATGAATATTTGTGGCTGTGTTTGAATGTGATCAGAAGCAGCAGCTTTCATTCTGTCTGTTTGTGTAGTTTGTCTTTGGTAGATGTAAAAGGTGTTATAGTGAGCTGGCACTGTCGTACTTCTTTTCATCCTGTCAGAGAAGGAGAACCAAAGTCAATGAATTCTTCTGTTTTCAGTCCCGCTTTTAGGGAGCCCTCTGATGGCTCAGTCAGAGATCCACTTTGTCACTGAAAGTTGATTTGAAGAGTTTTTTTGTTTTGAAGTGTTTCAAAACTCTCGGCTGATGTCCTCCAGGGTCAAATCTGTCAGGCCAAGCTGGAGAAGTGGTCATATCAGGAGCCCCAGGCCGCACCCGTGGAGGCCCACATGTTTGACCTGGACTGCCTTCTGTCCGACATCTCCGACACCCTGTTCACCATGACGCAGAAGCCGTGTCCCTGGGCCAGCGACCGACACAACAGTGAGTAGTCAGCACTCTGACTTTTCAGGGACTTTGAGCTGAGACTCGAATGCAGCATCAAAATGTTTGACTGTGTTTTAAATAAAGAAGAGTCAGTGCTAGTGTTGGGATTGGTGGAGAGACTTTTTCCAATCCCACTGTGCCATCCTCAACAGAGCGGAGAGCCATCATTTAGTTTTACACTCATAATTATTTTTTAAAGTGATAGAGACATCTTAGTGAACTCTGCTAACATTTTGTAACGAACCATTTCTGAAGAAATTCAAATGAATATTTTCAGATTGCAGGTTTTCTGCTTTCTGCAACTTAATTCATTCATACATTTCATTTAGCAGAAAAGAAGATTTATCAAAGGGGATGTACATCAGAGAGAGTTCTGGTTTCTATTGTGGCTTAATGAGACCCTGAGTTAGGGCTGAACGTTATCGTAGAAGTGACATAAAGGTCATTTTAGAAGCCCGCCTACATTTCATTTCAGCACCCCTGAAATATCAGGAGCATGTGCCCCACCAGATTTTTGAAATCTGACATGAATTTTGTAAATATCTCAATTTTATTTTCTGTCGATCATTTTGAATAAGGAGTAGTAAAAGTCATTACTATGTGCTTTAGTTGTCTAATGCAGGGTTGGTCATTTTTCAAAAACTAGCATGATTTTGAAAGTAGCATTCCCTCTGTGCTCCTTCTAAAGCCACGCCCCTCACACTCATTCAGCGGTAAGTAAACTCACAGTATAAACTCCATCATCGGTGATACGCTTTGAGTGTGGGCTCGTGCACGCAAGTGGTAGAGAATGAGCAGGGAGACAGGGAGGCAGACATTGGTCAACGTTTTTTACAGACTTACAAACTGATACAGATGACAGATTTTCTTTGTTCCTTTTCCAGAGAACATGAGTTATTAATTTCTGTCAGGACCTAAAGACAACTTCAACCAAAATCTTAAAAAGTGTATATGGAGGAAATTACCAACCCTGCCTTTAAGTAAGCCTTCTTAGTGAGTGTAGGAGTGATACTGATCTTCTTATCTAATGCTAGCAAAGAAATCCAGAAAGGACGTTCCCTTAAATGTTGAGCCAGTTCAGTTCTGTTAAAGAAAACTTAAAGTCAGGGACTACCAGGTTTTTTGCCACTGACACAGTTACTGCGAGTGTAAGTCACGATGATGAGCAAATGAAGAAGAAAACTCCCCATGATGAATTGATGACCTTTCAGAAAACCACACTCAATAAAGGACATATTGACGGATGCACTCAGACACAAATCTCTCTCTCTCTCTCTCTCTCTCTCTCTCTCTCATATATCTGATATCACTTTCTTTTCCTCCTCAGCATACACAAGCAATGCTGATATAATCCAGCCAGGCCTGACTCCACTGCAGCCCAACCTGGAGGATTTCATGGACATACCAGGTACTCTTAACTAGTTTATATCTGTCTGTCTGTCTGTCTGTCTGTCTGTCTGTCTGTCTGTCTGTCTGTCTGTCTGGCAGTGGGATCTGCACATGCTGTCATAGAATGGCAGTACATCAACAAGAGCTTATTGCTACCACTTTGTGAGCCAAAATTGAGACAAACTAAAAGTCCCTCACAGGAGCACAGGACACAAATAGTTGATAATAATAATACGGTCCGTATAGGATGAGAGGCAGGGGGTACTAGCCTTCCAGGGCTGCCTTCCTTTTCAGAGTCAAAGAAGCAGTAGGTGGAGCTGAGGAGCTGCAGATAGGAGGGAGGAAGCAGGTTGGAGTTCAGGTCCTTGCTCAGAGGCACAATGGATGTTTTGTTTTGGCCTTTGTGTCAGTTTCAGTGAAGCAAGTGTGTGTGTGTGTGTGTGTGTGTGTGTGTGTGTGTGTGTGTGTGTGTGTGTGTGTGTGTGTGTGTGAGGGAGGCTGTTTGCTTTCACAGCGTCCTTAGGGATCAGCTGTCTGTCTCTCTCTTGGTCACAAGGTCCAGAGAACGCGCTAGAGAGAGAGATAGAGAGAGAGAGAGAGAGTCTGTCAGAGTGACATTGCTGTGAGTGTAATATATACAGTTTGTTCTGTGAATCTTTTAAATGGAAATACAGATCATGTTATGTCAGAAGTTTCTCCTTACCAAGAAGAGAAACAAACAGTATGGTAGGTTTTTTTTAAAATGTTAATTCTGACGCAATTGACGCTCTGTGCTTTGTTTTATACCAAACTGGATTACCATTATCATAAATAACAGATCTTTATCTATAACAGACATGATGTTGAAATGTCATTGACTTAAGCATACAACTGAACTTGGTATTCTTCAGATTCATACTTGTTAGGTGGGGGTTGTTTCTGCTGTATAAATCCAATGAAGAAATCTTGAAACAGACTGTAGATTATAACTCCATTTAATCGGCCGAGGTCAGATAACTTCACCAAACATGCATGCTTACAAATTAACAGTGTTCACAGTGCTGCTTATATTCTGTAAGAAGTTGCAACCCACAAATTCCTTTCTATTTGGGTACATACACTATAAAACAATAAAGATGACATGACACTGATTCGTATACGTAACAGATGTAGACTCTTTGTCTAACAAACAGTTGTTGACAACATATGGTTGGCTCCTACACAAATAAAGATCTGCTACAATTTAGGTGTTTCATCCATTTACAGCTTCAGAGACCCAAAAGTATGAGTGCTAACAGGTGGTAGACAGATTGAATAGTACTTACAATACTGTACCTGGACTCTTTACAAATAGTATAATAGTCCTGCAATCAAGGAGTGGTTGAATAAACCTTTTCTCTTTGTCTTCTTGGAGACAAATCCATTCTCCCAGCTGGACTCACATAGGGGCAGTTTGAGTTAGCCCTTGCAGGATTTCTTAAAGGAGCAATCTGTAAGATGTGTAGTGAGTGAAATGATAAAGTGACCTTACTATATGATCAGACATTAAGGAAACATGCTATGTTGAAGTGCTGGCTTCTCTGACAACAATGCAGCAGCCAGTATGTCCTCCTTCTAACTTTAGATTCTGCTCCTGAATGCTCTGGATTTGTTTGGACCAGAGAAGGTAGTCGGTTTTAAGGCACCCCCACACGGCCGTTTTGGATGCCCCTCGGTTTGCCAGATATGAGAGCAGTTATCAGGTCAACAGGTGTTGCAGTGATGGAAGCAGACAAGAGAAGTGGTTCAGATAGAAGTGATTGTACCCGACCTAAAAAGCCTCTGCATGTTTCTAATAAGCTCCACGAGCAGAAACGTGCTCAAACTAGGATCAATATTGGAGATGCTTTTGAAAAATGGAGAGAGGTTAGAACACAGAAAGGTTTACAGACTGATGCAGAGCTGGATAAACACTGAAGCTTCAGTGTTCACCACATGGTGACCTGTGTGAGCATCGACTCTAGAGAGGAGGGGGCGGGGGGGAGACAGCTCTCTGCAATGTTTTGAATGTGGACTGGTGGCAATATTGGTTTGTAATGTCCCTGCATCCTGACAGAAGTCAGGTGTAAAAAAAATCTGATAAAGAAAAAAAAAACTTGTGTTTGTTAGCTGTAATTCTCCATCAAATCATTTCACACCTAATGATTGGAATACCTGCCTTTCTGCGAACCCTCGACCATCGCAATCATAGCCCATGAGCTGACAACTAGCCCAAACTAGTGAGCTAGCTAAAAAAGACGAGGCTTTTACTCACAACTCTCATGGACTTGTTTTGGGAGATTTGGGAAGTGGCTTTGACAGTTTTCTAGTTATTCTACCCAAATCTAGCTGTATTTTATTAAAATTTTTCAATTATTTCAATAATTTTATGCCTTATTTACCCTCTAATCAACAGTGTTTGTTGTTTCTCAGATATCTTTATGAACTTCAGGGGACAGCCCACTGAGCAGACTGCTTTCGCTGACTGTGGTTATTTTGAGAGCTCATCCAGCACAGCGTTCGCTCCCGTTCCCTCCCCCGTGGTAGCAACTCCTCAGCTACTCATCGACACTCAGCTGGCTCAGGTACTGTCTCCTCCGGCCTTACTGCTTTTTTTCTCCAGTAGTATTTCATATGCAGCTTATAGTGCCCCGGTTTATAACCATTAAGGACCGCTGAATCTGAATTTTTCAGCCCAATCTGTTGTCTGACCCTTTACCTCAGCCCTCCTCATCCAGCACCCAGTCAGACCAGAGCAGGCCGGGCCACGATTGCAGTGGATACCACTCATCCAGCATCGTAACCGGCACAGTGCCTTACGGACATCAGTCATACCCTGATCCGCCTGTTTCCATAGCGTTTACCAGCAGCATGGAGCAGACTGCTGCTACTAGTGTTCCCTTTCTGTACCCAGTGCCATGCCACAAGTTTGGTTACTTCTCAACCAGCAGCCTGACACCCACTGTCATCACCCACACTGCCTCCACAGTGGGGGCTCATGGCTACCCTCACACAGGGGACTCGTACACCCAGGCCCCCTTCCACACTCTCAGTTACCTCGCTGCTGTGTCCGAACCGGTCCACGCCCCAGCCCACTGCTTCTCCGTCCCCGAGCAGGTGGCTGTTTCAGGGGTCAGAGGGAAGCACAAGCAGAAGACGGGAGGAGCGAGGACAGCTGGTCCCCCAACGGCTCCGTCCAGCCCCCTGTCCACTGCACCCGCACCCACGAGCTGCCTCGCTGAACTGCTGTCATCCGGCACCAGGGAACGTGAGTCGCTCTGTCCCTGTTTCATCTTTCATAATAAGTGAGAGATCATGTTTAACTTTTTGTGTTTGTGCTTTCAGGGAAGCCATCGTTAGGATTCGATACTCTTCTAGTGACATCCAGAGGTCAGAGGTCTTCATCTCCCAGCTCCTCGGTGAGCCTGTCTTTAGTATCATATCATCTGATGATGATAATAATGAAGCCTTATTCAGACGGCTGTTTCATGCCGCGGTATTTATGCCCCTGTGACGCCCCACATTGCGTCCCTGTGATGGTTTCATTCTGAATGTCGCAGAGGTGATTTGGGGGGACGAAGTAACCCCCCCTCTGTACTGTCTTAGTATCAGGTAGTATCAGAGGTGTTACAGAGGCGCGACGGTATGAGCCAGCAAGCGGGGGAGCGCAGCGCTGCGTGTGCGTGCGTGCATGTCTATCTGTGTGTGTGTATAGGGAGCTTCCGCAACACAGCTTAGTTATGGAAAAAAGCAGTCTGAAAAGGGGATAAAAGAGGTTAGCAAGCAATAACGGCAAACAGATAAATGGAATTAAAGGAAAAAATTCCTTCTTGTAAAAGACTGTCCTTTGTGTTGAGTAGAGAAATAAAACGAGGTTCGGACTCTGCAAGTCTGATCTTCTCTGGCAGGCTGTTCCAAAGTCTGGGGGCTCAGACAGTAAAAGCCCTGCCCCCCCTTTAGTTTCAAACTGGACCTTGGAACAACCAGCACCTACCAGAGGAGCTCAGACTGCGTCATGGTTCATAGGGTGATAAAAGCTCAGGAAGATAGGGAGTAGTCATACTTAAAATCAATCCTAAAATCAGCAGGCAGCCATGGGAGGGGACGCTAAAATTGGGGTGATGTGAGCACATTTATTGTTTCTTGTTCAAAGCCGGGATGCTGAGTTTTGAACTGTTTGAAGGCAGTGGATTGATTTTTGACTGAGACAGCTGTGAAGTGAGTTTCAGTCCGAGTGGAAGGAAATAAAAGCTTGAATGACTTTCTCCAGATCTACGGCTGACATGAGTGATTTGACCTTTGATATATATCTGAGCTGATAAAAACAGGACTGGACAACCTTCTTCACCTGGCGCTCAAAACTAAAGTCCTGGTTGAAAACAACACCAAGGCTTCTGGCCTTCTAATTCACTGGGCTGTGTAATTTTTTGATTTCTCTTTTCTGGGGAAACAATGACAGTTACTTCAGATTCAGATTCAGAGTCACTGAAGGACAGTACCTTTATTTGACTGGTCATCGGGACATAAAGTTGTGAGTCATTAGCTTAACAATGAAAATGGACGTTATATTTACGGATAATGTTTCCAAAAGTGGAAAATGGGAAAAAGTTAAATGCACATCACGTAGATGCGGGGCCGTACAAAAACAGCAGACTGAGGAAGAAGATGCATGTAAATGGAAAACAGTGTTGGACCCAGAACTGAACCCTGGGGGACCCCATGAGATATGGAAAGTGTTGGTTTGTTTGTTTTTGAATACTGGCTTTGTATGCTTTTTTGCCAGGACTGATCTGAACTAGGGTTCCACAATAAATCCCCTGATAGAGATTCTGTGTTGTTTAGCAGTCCAGCAGCAGCTCGCATGTTGGAGGAGCCTCATCACAGCTGCAGCAGGGACCCAGTTGGTCTGCAGGGATCCCCGTGTTGACCCCTCTGCACAGCCATAGTGCCCCCCTGGGTCACAGTGGACCTCACACCAGCACCTCCAGAGGCTCGGCGGTGTCTGCCCTGGTCACCCAGGGAGCGACACACACCAACACAACCCTCCTCATCCCCAAGACTGAGAAACTGTCTCCGGTCCAGCTGTACGGCACAGACAGGAACAGCTTAACAGGTACCCCTTCAATACTCCAACTTTGAAGTGCATATCAAAACAATGTGCATACAAAGGTTTGTGTGCATATATTTACCTGCATATAGAATGAAACGTATCCATCTTTATTCCAGTTAGTTTTTCAGGACATCCAGGTCAAACATCACCACCAAACCCACTAGATAAAGCCTCCAACCCCGAGGCCTCACACTCAGTCTTCTCAGGACACGGGAAAAAAGAAAAGGTAGGATACGCTCTCTCTCCTTTACAATACAAAGATCTATGTAACGATCACTGAGAGATTGATATTTGTAAGATATAAATATAATCATTTTAAAGTTAGAGTCAGTAGCAATGTTCGTTTCACAGCATTCAAATTAGGCCCCTCCTCCCGGGCTCATCGCCACCAGAAGCCCACTCCCTCTGCAGCGTGAAGGTTTACTGCTTGTACCTACACTGCAAGCTACCTGGGAATATGACATTTGTTTTAATGGAAAAGCCGAGAATTAAGCAAGCTAGCACAAGCTAACCACCGGTGTACGGCTCCTTCCTGTCCAACAGGAAGCTGCCAACTCTGCGTCTGTGCGTAGAAAACAACTCAAGAGTTCTATCTGCCTGGCGTTTTGTCTACCTGAGTACATTTTCTCTTCTTTGCCACTACATCCGCATCTGTCATATTCGTCGGTTTGAATCGCGTCCAATCACTGAATTGTATCCACTCCTGAACTCGCCTGCTGCGATGTCATTGGCTGGAGGAAACACACCGGCTCCGCCCAGAAACGTCCCGAGTCAACCAAAACAAACCAGAACAGTAAAATCCAGACAGAGGACAGAGTCTCTGCAGACACAGTCACCACCACACATGTATGGAGGCTCAGAAGGGACGATGGAGCAGATTTACTTTCATTTATTTATTTTTTGAAGCTACTGACTCTACCTTTAAGTCTAATGTTGAGTCCTAATTATGTGAAAATGAGTGCTGTAGGAAACTGAACTATGACCCAGCATGTCATCCTGACTGTGAAGTGAAGCGACATTTCTGTGCTGTGTTATCTGCAGCAAACAGAGACCAGGAGGATAACTCACATCTCAGCAGAGCAGAAGAGACGATTCAACATCAAACTGGGGTTTGACACTTTACACAATCTGGTGACGACACTCAGCTCGCAGCCAAGTATAAAGGTACTGTGTGAAGGGATGTACAGCTGCACTATAGAGGTGCATGAATAGAGAGCAGATGAATTGATGCGGAAAATAACTGGAAAAGCATATACATTGAAAATATTTCTATTCACAGATCAGTAAAGCCACCACCCTGCAGAAGACGGCAGAGTACATCAGTAAGATGCAGCAGGAGAGAAGCCAGCTGCACGAGGAGGCGCAGAGACTCAGAGAGGAGATCCAGCTCCTCAACTCTGCCATCAAGTGAGACCTTTTAGTCAGACTCAACATGTCTTTGTACTGTATGTGTGTGTGCTTACATGGCCACAAGTGAATGTATGCATATCACTCGGATTAGTTGTGTATTTTGGTGGATTAAATTCCAGTTGAGTGCGAGGAGTTTTTAAATGTTAAAGAAACAGTCCAGAGTAAATCATGATCCCTCTGTATGACCTACAAAAGCAAAGCAGACCATCAGCAACAAGACTGACTGCTTCTTTTTAATTATTCCTGGTGCTTCTTTCCTCTGACTTTGGGTGGGATTCTGAGGAAGCAGGTTAAGGCAACCAACCAGAAAAGGCTTTTTTAATTCACATTTTAGATGCTCAAGTTTCAGACGGAGTTCTGTACGAGCAAGTGAATAAGAATGGAGAGAAACTTTGTCTTTTTACCTGCTGATCTGAGGACACACTGTAATGCCTTGTTGACCCGTTGTGTCTCTTCATGCAGCGCGTGTCAGCAGCAGCTCCCAGCGACTGGTGTGCCAATCACACGGCAGCGCTTCGACCACATGAGGCAGAAGTTCAGAGAGTACGTCCGGGCTCAGACGCTGCAAAACTGGAAGTTCTGGATCGTATCCTTATGAATGTCAAACAGATACAAGTTAATTAATCACACTTCTACATGAATTCACAACAACAAAAACGAGTTCTGAGTGTACCCGTCTATTCCCCTCTGAGGTTCTGTATTCCAGCTCGGCTTGCTTTTTCAGACTTTGGAGGGATGTCAAATTCTGTTTAATTTCCCAGATGGTTTTCTCTAAACTACAGTGAAATTGTGTTTTCAAGTGTTACAGCAAAAAATATTCCCTTAAACCAGGCTTCTGTTTTTACAGCACACTTGGTAAATCACGATAACCCAGACATTGTAATAATAATAAAACGGTCTTATAAAGCGTTTTTCTAGATACTCAAAGACGCTTTGACAAGAAAAAACAACCAACAAACAAAACAAAAACGACTAGGACTGTACAACGAAGAAGTACTGTAAGGGGGGGAAGATGGGAGTTAGTGGTTGTATGCGATGTTGAAGAGGTGAGTTTTGAGGGATTTCTTGAAGGAGGTGGGGAGTCTCAATGGTGCATTGTGGGAGTCTGACACCAAAAAAGAAGTCATGAAACAAACATCGGTATCAGCCCTGATTTTCCTCAGTCGGTGCGTCTCTAATATTAACCCCTAAATTCTAACTTAATGATCCCCTTATCTGTTACTGCAGCTGTTATCTTGGAGGCATGGTGAGACGATTAGATCAGGATTTTATCATCTCTGTGTGCTGCACAAAAACACCTTGAGGGTTTTTTTACTATCCTTGAATAATAAGGTATTTTCTATGGTTCCACAGGCGATTGTGCGTTTATATAACTGATGTTGATACCGCAAATTAAAGACATCAAAATGTCCAGAGGATCTTTTCTCTTTACAGACAGCAGCATTCACCATCTGTTTGACTGCTCATTATCTAGTCTCTCCAATAACAAACAGCTTTTCAATAACGAGAATCCCTGAGCCGCTTGCAGTGTTTCGTCTAAAGTTTCCATGAAAGGATTCTTGGTTGAACTCTTATATTTTTCTCATTTTTAACACATGACCAAATTAAAGGCATAGGATGCTTGTTGACAGTTTTAATCATTAAAAAGATTGGTTGCTCTAACATCACGTAGCCTAGCTGCTGGTGAGTCTTTTTCTTCCCCACGTTGCTGGAGATGGCCTTAAGCCTGCAAGTCTTGCATTTCACAAATTGCCTTATTTACTGTCTGAGCTGCTGCTGTTGTAAATACTCAGAAGTGAACCTCACGTTTATTTATGCACAACTGAAAACACTCCTTTTACTCCTGATAAACACAAAAGTTACAGCTCAAACATTACTGCTGATGCACGGAGCAGCCATGTTGGATTTTAACCCATACAACTGAAGTAGCTCTGAATTTCCAAGTCGGACTTTAGACTTCAGGAGGGGCGTTTCTGATGACGTACCAGACCAGTTACTCGAAATTTCGGTCTTAAGTGATCAGATGCATCGCACCATAAATCCTCCGTAAATGAAGGCTTGGCGTAACCGCTAGGGCCGAGGCCTTCTCCACCCCATCATCGCATATGTTTTTAACCTGTGTTTCAATATTTCTGTCTGTATTTCTGCTCAGGAGAGGGTATCTGGAAAGTATGAAATACTGCTGAGTTTGCAGCAATCTGTTTACAACAAGGAATCTTTGATAATATGTCCCTTTAAATATGTAATCAAACGTTGCTATGCATATCGTCCTACACACTCTGCAGAGCTTTGTCACCTTCAGACAGGGATTTCTTTATGTTATGGTCTCTTTTGTGTCACATTTGAATGAGCCAGACTTCTTTCCTCAGCTCAGTGTCAGTTCAGTATCATCATAGAGCCACTGTTTGAGTCCTATAATGGGATGGTGTCCACTGCCAGTGTGGAGGACCTGTGCCGGTCCACTCTGTCCTGGCTGGACCAACATTGCTCCCTGCCTGCGCTCAGACCCAGTGAGTCCAGAACAACAGGACCCTCAGTGCAGAACTTAACCTGTATACTTATTGTAACTATCTAATCTGTGTTTTTATTTCTCTAAGTGGTTCTGAGTTCACTCCGTCTCCTGAGCACCACCACGGCCATCCTCACAGACCCCGCCCTGCTGCCGGAGCAGGCCACCCTTGCCGTCACCCAGGGTGACCCGGCTGCTCTCCTGGACCACTCCTCACAGCCTGCAATCCAGGACAGAATGCACCCGATGTGACAGTGGACTTCACAGCAAATTACACGCCACGCACCACATCGGAGGAAAACCTGTGGGAGGATTAACAATGACTCAAAACTCAGCCGAGAGATCTTCAGTTAAAATCACATTCTAATAAAACTCACCAGCTGCAAACAGAATGTAAAACAATACAAGCAGAGGTTGTAAACTACATGTGATCTTTGCTTTAATAGTGATAAAGGTTTGAAATACTTCTATTATATCCTGTGTGTTTTCTTCTCACGCTCAAAATGAATCTCTAAGTCACATCTTTCTCTTCTATTACTACAAGGAATACTACTACCAATAATAATGATATTATTATTATTATTTCATTACAATCAGTAATTTGCTCCCTGTGCTCGTTAGTTTAACTGTTGACTCTAAATTGTCCGTAGGTGTGAATGTGAGTGTGGCTGGTTGTCTGTCTCTGTATGTCAGCCCTGTGATTGGCTGGCGACCAGTCCAGGGTGTAACCCGGCCTCTCCCAATGACAGCTGGGATCGGCTCCCGTCCCCCGCAACATCGAACAGGAAATGTGGTATAGATAATGGATGGATGAATGATTACAATCAGTGCTGTAGTGCAGGGTATACACACTTATTTCTCAGTCTCCATTGGGAACCGGAGGATCACTGATTGAAGTCCGGGTGCGTACCAAAGCATGGAAGTTGGCCTGGTTGCTGGGGAGGTTGCAGGTCACTCCTGAGTAACTGCTGAGGGACACCGGACCCCCAACAGCAGAGGTGCCGCTTGTCAACAGGCAAGGCAGAAAAACTGCTTTGGGCCCTGGGCCAGTAGGGGCCCCCCAAGGGTTGACAAACTTGAATCCACAGCAGGTGCTCCCTCCTTAGGGGGCCATTCAATAGCACTCACCCCCATTGTGCAGCCGGTTAAGCAATGTTCCTATGAAAACCTACATGTAAGTTTGTCAATAAAAGCCACCAAGAGGAATTTTCCATCTGAGTGTGAAAAAGAAAGCAAGACAGAGGAGATAAGGGCGGATCATGACGACTAAATATAAAAATAAATGACTGAATGCTGCCACGAGCACTGGCTTTTCAGCGGAGCGCGATTTTCAAAGGTATACTTGAAGTTATTTACATGTTGTTCTATTTTTGGTTGTTCTTCATATTTAAGTTTGGAAATGACAAAGTTATACATTTTACAACATAATGTTGATGACTGCTAGTTGGAGCTGCCCCCTGTACATTTTTGCCTGGGGCCCCAACTGCTGTGGTCCTCCCCCCTTTGTTGTAGCAGCTCCACTCTGACATCTCTCCATCAACGCATTGTCCACAGGTCCTGTTTGCGCATGTGTGAGAAGCATGTCTCTCAATAACAGAGTGTAAAACCAGAGTTTCCCCTCGGAGATTTCAAAAGTTTGACCAAAAAGGTCGCTCAAAGGAAAACGCTAGGTGACGCCATTCCAGTGCATTTGACTCCCGTGTCTTTTCAGGGTCTGCAGTGACTCCTCCCGCCCGCTAGTGGCCGCTGTGCTGCAGGCGGCGCTGCAGAAATTGCAGCATGAAGGGTTTTTGTTCCCAGATCTCCTCGGTGCGCTGTCCACTTCAGCACCACAAGCAGAGTCGAGGCAGCGGGCTAGCTAACGCTGAAGAGGAGGAGCGGGGACTAAAAAAGACACGGCTCAGCATCAGCACCAGCACCCCGCCCGGAGTCCCTCAGATACGGACGAATAGCAACCGAAACACCGACGAGGGGAAAGCCTGCGGCGAAGGTAGGAGTTCTCAAAGAAGCTTTAAAAAAAGGATCAAGTTAGAGGAGGCAGGCAGGGATAACAACGGGAGAACAAACCCCCTTCCCTTCCTGGTTCATGATAAATACTGCATGACCGTGTTAAGGCGGTGCGTATGCTGCGTTATCTTCTTGTTTAGTGTTTGCTTCTTTATTTCCAACATGTTTGTGAGAGAGAGAGAGAGAGAGAGAGAGAGAGAGAGAGAGAGAGAGAGAGAGAAACGGGGGCAGCAGAGGGACGAGCGGGGACCCGTGCAGGACGTGTTTGTGCTGGGCAGCCTCTCCTCTCCTCTCCTCTCCTCTCCTCTCCTCTCCTCTTATCTCCTCTCCTCTCCTCTCCTCGCTTTGCAGATGGTGCTGTTTTATAACTCGTCGATGTGGACAGCTGCTGCTGCTGCTCCTTTATGTCCCTCTGTGCTCGATGTGGGACATCTCACATTATAGTCCTCACTTTGTGCAGATTTATGCCGTTTTATGGCGAGGGTCAGCAATTATTCTTATACATTTAAAACATGTGCATTTTGGATATTAGCAGATATTCGTCTTCTTCTAATCTTTAATGTATTATTTACTGCTTTTTTTTTTTTATTGTAGTTGCTTCTTTAATTGCATTGGTTTTACTTTGACAGCCTCTTCAGACATTTGGTTTCTCCATCAGTCCTTCATTTGCATTCATTCTAGTTGATCTTATTGCATTTTATTTTTTGCCTTTTGTTTAGATTTTGCAGACTAGTCTCTGTTTGGCCGGACTATTGATGCTCCACATGTTTTATTTCTGAGTTCCTGCCTTTGCTTTGTCTGTCTGCTTTGGCTTTAAATATTTGTTTTTGACAGTTTTGTGCCTTTATTGGAGAGATAGGATGATAGTAGATAGTGGTTGAAATCAGGGTGAGAGAGAGAGGGGAATGGCATGCGGGAAAGGAGCCTCAGGACGGATTCGAACCTGGGCCGCAACAAGCGCCCCATTGTCAAAGCACTTTAACAACATCTGTTTTTAAAGGTGCTTTAGTACTGGGCCCTGAAGTCCCAAAAAGTACACACAAGATTTATTTATATTATTCTTTTTGGGACTTCAGGGACGCCGTTCTGTATAAATAAAGATATTATTATTGTTTGAAGTGGCTTTGGTGTTTGAGGTGGTGATCATCCCGAGGTTGGTGTTTAGTTGTTTTAACAAATCATAAGTAATGGTGATTGTTTTTAGAAAGAGGAATACTAAAGACACAGTACTTTACTTGATTACTTATTTTCATTTTGCACTCTATAATATATTATTATCTATTTACTGTGTTTATGAGACTCAGAGAGCATCGACTGTCACCAGAGGTGGACGAACACACACAGCAGCAGAGATCCTCGAGGGGCCCGTTTCAGAAAGAGGGTTCAACAAACTCTCAGTCTGACCCCGAGCTCTGAGTGGATTTACCCTCAGGTGGAAAACTCTGAGTTTCCAGTTCCAGAACAGCTAATTGCAGTTTGTTTAGTCAGTTCAGCGCGTGCATCACAACTAAAAAAAAAGACAACATTAATGGAGCCTGATATTACGTTTCACTGTGGTAACAGGTGACAAATGGAGGTCTCCTCTCTCTCTGGAACGGGCTTGAGTTACTTGTCTTTTCCGGGTTTGAGTGACCTCCCTTCCTGAAACTGAAAACCCAGAGAGTCACTTATTTGAGGGTTAACAGACTCTGCACTAAACCGGCTTTCTGAAACGGACCTCTGGTCTAATATGAGTCCAATATAAGTGTAAGTTTCTCAGTCAAATTATAGTATGACTTGAGTTAAAGTACCAGAGGACTCGTATTTAAAAAATACTTTTACTCATGCTGCAGATTTACAGATTTACATAAACTGATCAATATCAGGAAGAACTAAAAATACCTGATGAGCTGATGATGTCAGCCAGTCTTTACACAGAGAGGAAACATTCACATTTATGAATGTGTACGGCCTCGGGAACTGTAACTGTGCAGCTTACTTTTTGATCCTGGTGCTGCTAAAGCTCCCTTTGCTTTTTTTCCACTTCTCTGCCGTGGTGTTAGCACCTTTCTATGAGTGACATCCGCTCTGCAACACTCAAGTACGGCAACAGCAGTTAGACAAACAAGACACAGAAATACACTAACACAGTTTAAAAGAAAATTCATCAGCTGACGTCAGAGCAAAAGTAGCGAGTAATGAGAACATTCATAAAAATGTAGAGGAGTGAAAAGTACGGTATTTGTCTTTTAGTTCCCCCCCAGAAAAGTACCACTCAAGTAAATTCACTTTGATTTTGTCCACCTCAGAGAGTAACACATGTGACACTTTAGGCAGGCTGTACTCGGGGTCATTTCATTACCTTTGTCTGGATTTACCCATCAAGCATTGCTGCCATAAAGTCTAAGGTCTCACAGTGTCTGATACCTCCTGATGCACAAATCTGTGAACTGGATGTTGTTACGCTGATGATGTGATGCTTTGAGCTGAGCAGATACTCAGACGGATGACGGTAGCTGTGGTTAAACCTGCACTCTCTCTCTCTGGAGAATTCAGAACTCAGTGTAAAAATAACACTTTGGGAGGCCGGACAGCCAGGCAGATGTGACGTGCCTCTCATGTAGAAAGGCTGTGGATCTCGTTACAGTGGCCATGGGTTCACATATGACCTCTGCCCTTTGCTGCATGTCACCCCCCGCTGTCTCTCCTCCCAACATATCCTGTCACCTCTTCAGCGGTCCTGCCCATTAAACGCCTTAAAAAAAATAATTTAAAAAATAGCATCCTGTTTGAATAACACGTAAGTAGTGATGCAGAAGAACCTATAAGGTCTTTATTCTTTTACTTCAAAACACAACCTCAGTACTTTTCACTTTCTCTGATCTGTCTTTGAGTACATGGAGTTTAGTGGCACAAGAACAAGATTTTATAACCTATAAAAAGTCTTTAATTAACCCATTAGTTGCTGTTATATGTCATGCTCCATGGAGTTTGGTAAATTGAGTTGTGTTTTCATGTTATTTTCTGATTATTTATAAACTGAACAGAATCAGAAATATGAGGATCGATGGCTGCCCCATGCACGGCTGTGCTACTCATTCGGAGTTCGCGCCAATGTTTTATATGCAATAAACTCTAAAGTCTGAACAATCCTAGTGTGCATGCGCTGGATTAATCTGATCTCAGAATCAGAAATACTTTATTGATCCCGGGGTTAAATGTGGTCGTTAGAGGCTCTTAAACACAATACAGAAGTAGGATATGTAGAATTATATATAGAATAAGCATTAAGTACCAAAGCGTAGAAGAAATAATAAACTATGTACGAGCACAGGGAATCGGATATATGAACAATATTTACAAATGTGCATGTGCAGAGTTGCACATAAGACTCAGTGAAGGCAGTGTTATCCAGCTTGTGTTTGTAATGCACACATGGGTCACTGTGACTGAGTGTTAGAGTATCAAAGAAATAAGTGGAAAAATATATAAAAAAGATTCAATTATTATTATTTGCAGTCAGGGGTAAATTGCTGCACACAGCTGTGTGATAAAACCCACAAAGTCCCTCCGCTCTCCACGCCGACGTACCATACGACTGTCTGTGTGATTCCTCATGAACATCCCATGAATCAGTAATCAGCGGCCGCTTTGTGACATGCTGCTCAGCTGAAAAGGGAAAAGTCAGCGGGAGCTGTGTGAGTGGCGGGACGGGGACAGTGCTGACCAAACAGTCGAGCTGCAGGAGACTGTAGCTCGACTGCACCGGTCTGAAAAACCAGAGTTTATCTCTGGATGCAGTCTCCCGCTCTGTCAGAGTGCAGCTGCTGCTGTGGAGGTAGGCCCAGGTGAGGTAAGAGGCTGATAGTGGGATTAGCTTGTATTAGGATGAGGCTGCTCATAGAGAGACGTCACTCACTCGCGCTCTATCGTCCTCTGCAGCCTCTCTCTCTCTCTCTGAAAGGAGCTGCCTCCTGTCTGCTCCATATTCACATAGTTCCCAGATGTGCTCTCCACCAGAAACACAGACCACCACTCTGCAGCCTCTCAGTGACTCTCCTCCCCATGTCCCCCCCTCATGCAGTGCCTCCCTGAGCTCCCCCACACCGCTCCTCCTCCTCCTCCTCCTCCTTCTGTCCTACTTCCCCCTCTCTTCAGCTCTCCTAAAGTGCGATGCCGCTGAAGCCTCGAGGTGTAGACAGTTGCATGAGCGGCACGAGGAAGCATGTAAGGGTCGTTTTTGTCTCAGGGTGAAGTGTTCCCTGCACTTACCGTTCACCAGGCACAATATCCAGACATCAACGTTTGATTTGATCTGATAGCGTGCTTAAAGAAAATGTACAGTTGCTGCAATGTGAGAGCAAAGAAAAGCCATGTGGCTCAGACTTTGATCTGCTAGAAACAGTAAAATTAGCCTTAAACATCGTTTTCAGCTTCTCCTTGAAAGTGTACTTCAGTCTGCGGAGCGAGGACCGCAGAGAAGCTGGGCTTTATGCTTTCACTGCAGGTGGTAATTCCTTTATGTTTTATTTAAAAGGATCATCAGACTGCGCTCATGTCTCAAATTCAAACTCACTTAGTCTGTGATTCTAGCTGAAGTCGTCAGTTTTTCTGCTTTTACTGTGGTATGATTAGGGGGAAAAAAGAGCGTGCCATTTATCCGCCGCTGTGTGAGCGTCCCACAGTGATGTTTTTATTGGTACAGAAAGAGGAAATCAAGTATTTAAAGACTCATTTTGGAAGACACTCACTTGAATCTGTCTGCTGGATCCTCTGAATACCTTATCGCTGCAGAAAGCTTTGCTTATGGCTGTATAGATTTTCTCCCACATCTCTAACTGTGCATTGAAAACTCTTAAGAAATTGATTCCGTAATGAGCAGACGTATGATTACATCAGGAAAAACCAAGCGGCAACCGCCGGTCTTGAAAGATGAAATCAGTGCGGAAGTGCAAAATCCTGCAGTTTGTCGAGTTTCCACTAGAGGCTGGCTGCAGGAACATC